TCAAATTAAAACAGTGCAAACATTGTGTATACGAAAAAAATTGTACAATAAAAGATGGAAAATGAATTGCGAAGCACAGTATATGATTCAGAGGTGGCGAATCTGTTAGAGTCACTTGGAAGCGGTGTTATTTCGACAGAAACTGCCGCTCAAGAAAAATAATATTGATACTAGATTTGCTTATAATACTAGAGTAGGAGTGGCCAACCCACAGCTCGCGAGCCGCATGCGGCTCTTGAACAGGTTTCATACTTGTTTGAAATTCCCTCTAGTATCAGATGAGGCTGCAACTGAACTGAAGACCAACTGAAATGCGCTTTACCATCGAGACCATTGAGTTATGGAAAAACATGTCAATGGAAAAATACGCCAATGTCAAACGAGCTGCGCTTAGGATATATATTGTCAATGTTTGCGTCAACATACATTTACGAATGCGTGTTTTCTACCCTAAAACACGTGTAAACAGAAGCGTTTACATTTTCTGACTGACACACGTGGAAGAACTGATTCGATTGGCCACAACAACATTCAAGCCGAATTTAAAGAACATTGTTCAGCCCGAGAAATGCCAGAAGTCCCACTAAGTAGCATGTATTAACAATAAACAAGCTAGCCGAGTCGAATAAATGTATATTTAATGTTCATGCGTGTTCTTGTCTATAACACGGCGGTAATAAATTGCGAAATGCGGCTCTTGGTCTCTTACTAGTTGGCCACCCCTGTACTATAGCTTTCATAGGAAACAATTTTAAAGCAAGTACAGCGATACCTCGGTAGTCAAACGACTTAATTATTACCGTAAAAAAGCCATAGTCGACCAAATAATACTGCGGTACTCTAACGAAAAATTTGCTGCTTGAAAACCAGAATGTGCCGCTAAATGAGATAAGGTCTCGCCAATGTTTTGGGTATTTTAGATATTCTAAAATTTAGAATATTCGAATCGGTTCAGAGCAAAATTGCAAATAAAGGTTTTGGCGCACCAATAGCACACATGAATGATTTTCATTTATCGAAAACTAAAATAGATTTCAATAAATAATATATACAATGTTTCCATCACTAAGCATAACTAATTGAGGAAGATGAAAATGCTTAATTAGACTTCACATAGTTCAATATAAAATTATAAGCATTCATTAATCATTATCAAACTTTATCTCACCAAAAACCAATGATGTGTGAATGGCCAGAATAAAGGCATTTGAGTAAAGAGCCCATGCCGCTAGTTTACATTTCAACGTTAAAATGTCAAAATGACAAGAATTAGTTAACTGTGATCGGCCAGAATAATGCTATTTAGGCAATGAAGAGCAGATTCTGCTATTTTACACTTACTGATTCCAGACTATGATATAGTAATACCAGAGATACAATTATTTAGCCCATGAAAAATAATATCTCAGCAGCGCCACTCTGTAGCTTTTCAATGTCAACCGGCATCCACAATCGGATCTGAAAACGACATTTAACATATTTTCGAAGGTAGGTGTAGATGTTAGACACTCATCTTACGGGCGTGTTTGTTCTTAAATGTGACTTGATCACAATTGTTGCCCAACTTTAAAGTTGTTCGTGCAACTTTAAACTTCTTCAAAGGCAGTTAGTTCGTTTAGTAGAGAGTCAATAGCAGCTGAAATTTCCGGCTTGATTGACGCAAGTGTACGAGTACGAAGTTCCGTGCCGTATTTTTGTTACACTAGCTTCGTGAAGTAACACAAGCCACTGAAAAACAATGAAATTTGCAAGTGTTGGTGATACCTCTTTATCTTCGGTAGAAACGTCGTGGTGTTTTAATGCCACTTCCCTTGTTGAAAGATTGTCTTCCACAAAGACATCAGCCGCTGGAACAAATCTTCAGGATGCTCATCAATTTCTAGCTTTAAATTTGCAAAGTCTAACAGATGTGCCCTCGTTGTGTGGAAGCCATAGTGCATACGAATCGACTGCCATACGTCATTCGAAGAAGTTAGCTATTTGTCCCAACATAAGGTCAAGTGTCGTGTTTTTCTGAACAGCAGTTCTTCTCGATTCCTCTGCAACTTGTTCGCTGTCGTCCGTAAAACCTCGTAACGGCGAAAATTTGGTTTTCTTCCCCCAGGTGAATCCGACAATGAGAAATTGACTAAAGTTGCTGTCTATTGCTAGGATTTATAGCAGATTCTGGCGCCACGATTCGAACGAGTTGATAGTCTCGAACTTGCTAAGCTGCCATTGTTTCAGAGCTTTAGGTGAAGCCATTTCAGTCCTCTTGAAGAATATTTCAAAGTAATAACGTAAAATTCGTTTTCAACGCATGTCACCACGCCATTAAATAAACAAACACTTCTGTCTAGTGATGTACAAGCGAGGACAGAAAACACACGTTTCTCCAACAGAAGTCAAGACCCGAATGTATTGTCGTAAACAAAATCACACAATTACAAATCGCGTAATCAAGAACGAGCGCGCAACAATAACAGAATAAAGCATAATAATCATTACAGTACCAATTTGGCGCTATCTTTGGAAAAATACAGAATTTTTTGGTTTATACATTGCCATTTCACACCATAGGTTGTTGTGGCCGCGGGTATGGGATGTGAATCCAAGATTTCAATAACCCCGTGATGCCATCATAATTAATTCTAACGCTTTAATTAAACCAGTGGTTCACAACCTACCATGGCTCGCAGCTCGCCTTCCGGAGGGTTTTAGCACTCATGGCCTGTTCATCATTCCAGTGGTATTTGGGGTGTTATTTTGATTAATAGATTCCAATTCCATTACGTACAAACAATTCATGACTGACTAAGTGATAAACACCCTGCGAGATGACCCTATCAAGCCATGGAACTGGGAAGAACGGGTAGATTTCATGTAAAGCAGTGGTCAGCAAACTTTAGGTACTTGCGGGCCACGCCCACATATATAAATATATACACATTTTCGTTAGCGTGCGAGCCGCATTAATTTCCTCCTGCCCACATGTGTCACATTAAACAAACTACGGCCCACTTGTACCTTCTATTGCTGTGTTAAAAGCCTGTCACAATGAGGGGTGTACGTGGCCTATTCATTACTTATCGATTTCAATCGGTAAATATGTTGATAGGTATTTGTCTGTCTGTCTGTTAGATGCACGCGATATCTCATGAAAGCGAGATTGAATCTGCCCAGATTTTGCATGTCCGTTTGTCATATCTCGGACCAGAAGCCTATTGGTTTTGGGCGAATTATGTCTTATAATTAGCGAGTTATTAATTAATTAGTGATGGGAGACAAGGTCTCACTATGGAGTAAGAGCGCTGTTTTGGGGGATTCCCTAACTTTCGACCGATAATTCTTCGGTCTCTGACCGATATTCTCGTTTACTTATTATCAATGTGAAAGTTGACGTTGTTTCTGTGTCATGGCCAAATCGTTAAAATCAAATGCTAACTACGTTGCCCCGCAGGCCGCAGCTAGTCGTCCAAATGACGAAATGACAAGCGAGTAGGCTACATTTGACATAAAGCTGCTTACAGCAATCTGTGCTATCGAATGTGCAAATTCCACGTTTTGCACTGACTTTTACTACAGATTTCCGTGAAAACAACAACAACAACGAAAAAACGAGAATATCGGTCAGAGACCGAAGACTTATCGATCGAAAGATAGGGGATTCCCCAAAACAGAAACTGCGGTTTCGATTCGAAAAATTCTGCAAACCCGAACTGGATTGTTTTGATTAGTTTTCAGCCAATATCAGAAATGTAGGAAACAATAGCCAACTCCCCATGTCGTCGAAATACTACTCGAGGAAATACTTTTATGGAGAATTCTGCAAATCCGAACTGGATTGTTTCGATTAGTTTCCAGCCAATAGCCTATTTCTGTAATTACCAATCCTATAGTTTGTGTTAAATACAACGGCGCTAACCCAGGTTGCGACGGCTATTCAAACACAGCCTAGCGATATTTTGGTGAGGAATTCTGCAACCCCGAACCTGATTTAGGGATATGGACATTGCTTAAACTTTAAGGAGTAATTATAAGTAACGAGATACGATCTCGCGGCTTGTATCCTTCGCTCTGACTCAATAGTGTGGAAAATTTATCGAAGAAAACTTGCGCATCGCGACGACGTCAAAGTTACAAGAGAGATATAGACAAGGCTCAAAGATTAATCACGAGATACGATCTAGCGGTGTGTATCCTTCGCTCTGGCTCACTAGCGTGAAAACTTGCGCATCTGATACGCACACACACATTCAGCGCGTCTCGAAAATCTCTCGATTTGTGAAAATCCAGATCTCTTCATCACTAATTAAATAATAACTCGCTAATTATACGACATAATTCATCCAAAATCAATAGGCTTCTGGTCCGAGATATGATGAATGCACATGCAAAATTTGGAGCAGATTCAACCACGCCTTCGTGAGATATCGCATGCATCTAACAGACAGACATACACACATACAGACAAATACCTATCAATATACTTACCGATCTTAAGATCGATAAGTAATAAGCTCAATTACCGGATATCTGTATATATATATATATTGCTAGCGTTTGGGGAATACCCCAAATTACTATCTGATGAATTGCCTGGCTCTTTGATACAACCTAGTGTCATGACGATTTCTCGTTAAACCATTAGTAATTAATTAATGATAATATATTGATCTTCTAAAATAAGTTTACTAAGATAGCAAAACCATGGGTGCCGCTGCTAGTTAACCAACTTTGGTTCCCCGCGGCTTCTCTTCCCAAGTAAAATTATATTCTTGACTTTTTCGCATATTTTTTGCATTCGTACCTGTTGATTATATTATTGGTTGGAAAAAATAAACTTGACTATTTTATGGGAGCTGTTTGAGTATGATGAATGAATTGGAGAACGTCCCACAGAGGTGCAGCAAGGTTAATTTATAAATTAGATGGAAGTTTTCATGTGGTGTGTGTATTTTTCGTAGCTGATATGATTATTGAGCGATAAGATTTTCAAGCCCATTGCCAGTCATTACTATGAACAAATAAACCTACATTGGATTTACAAAATATATATATTTATTTTCATCCGCTGCAAAAATATGTACAATAACAAAGAATCCAACAAAAGATGATATCTCTACCAAGATTTAGCTTCATGGTAATACCATTGCGCATGGGACAATTACTTGATTATTTCGGTTGTCTTATGTGAACTTTAGCAATTGCAATGACAGAATTTTGAATTCGAAAACAAGCCCGTCACTTATTTTCCCATTTTCTTAATGCTATCCGTTAGATGTCAAATTATTTTTTGAACTACAATATTAATATTCGAACTAAATAGCCCCAAAAAAATTTCATGGAGTCAAAAACATGCGTATTGTTACCTTACTCCTTTGGAGTAAATTGATCTACCTTTGGGTAAATTTTGCAATCAAGAAATTTACATTTTTGTCTGTTACATATCATTTTGAATGAAAAAAATAGCATTGTTTCATACTTCAATTGCAAATAAGTAAGCTCAATGCCATCATTCTAAAATCTACATCCATTATCCTACAGCATTAGTTAACTTTACTTTTTAAATTTTCAGGATGTAAGAATGAGGATTTGGTTAAAAATCTCTGGTCTACAACAGTGAAAGAATTTTTCATGTGGGCAGTAAATTTCGGCGCTCCCGAAGTATGTGCACCAAGATGGCGCACAACCTGAACCCTAAACTGGTACACATACTATGTTCAGGTTGTGCACCGTAGAGCTCCGTAAATTCATAAGACATGTAAAAGAGTGGTTTATCATGTTGAAGCAAAAATCTCATTATGACAACATTATCACGTAACGGTTATCCATTCACAGCATAATGGCTATATATTTCATGTACTTTAGCTTTATATCTCAAATCCAATTCATTGTATCGTTTCCTTGATAAATAATTTGCGTAATCTCGCTTCTGCATCGATTCATTAAAAACTTTGTAGAAAGGATCTCGACTGTGTGGTTCTGGTGAATCTCCTACAGATTCTCGTTGACATGAAGGAGTGGCTCCTGGTTTAACTTTTCTCTTTATTTGCTTTGGAGCTTTTTCAACACCATACTCTGACAATTTGATTTGAGCCTGTGTTTGAAATAAAATAATTGGGTCATGGTCATTTATGGTGACCATTCAAGTAGACGAAAACTTTCGAATTGGATACATAATTGATGATACACGATTGAAGTTTAATCAGGCTTTAAACCAGTCTAAAAATGTTTGAATTACGCAAACGCTGATTGCAAGCCTTCATTTAATTCGATTGAGAATTTCAAATCTGATGTTTGAAAGTCTGTGTTTGTAGAATTCTAGAAAAATTGAAACCGAAGCATGGGATTTTTGAAAATGCAACTCCAGTAACAATATAAAGTCAGACTCCTATTCTATAGCCTTGAGAGCTGCTGTGAGATATGCTCTCATAATATTATGATATGCTGCGCATTTCCTTTCCGTAAGATGAGAAAAGTGATCGGTCTATATAATTCTTCAAACTGGGCAGATAACTCAAGACAGGCCAATACCTAATCCCAGAGAACACTGAGCTCTGATGCCAGATGAATTTCTTTTAGTCTTAGAATTCACCTTGCAAATGAAATCAATACTTATCCATAATCGGGAGTTCGAATAGGTCTATAGATAGTTGTGTACTTTTAAAAATTTGAGGTTGATCATTTATATCTATCGGAATCTATATGGCAAAAAGAACCGTACCGTACAGTAGCTTACTGATATCATATTACCAGCTAAATTTGATTGGGCCTGTTTCAAGATGAAAATATGCAAATGTTTACCATCAACATGGGGTCGCCAAACTTGGTTTGATTCAAATTTGGAAAAATAAAATCAGTACATTAACATACCTGGGGAGTTAACAAATTCTTATGCCACCATTTTGCATGTTCCAAAGATCTTTTGTATTCTGATTTCACCTGAAATAGTTTCTCTGCAAACTGTTTAATTTCTTTTTCTTCTTGTTGATCTGGTTGCTTCTGCATCCATGATGAAGTTAGAACAACCTGACAATATTGCGAGAAAATGAATAAATCCATCTTCATAAAACAGTGGCCCAATTAGTAGTCGTTAACTGAAGCAAATATTGATTGCAATAATATTACTGCAGTGCCTCAAAAATGTCATGTTACGCTTATACTATTTCTAGACCACTGTTCTAAGCCAGGGGCAGATGGTTAAAGTAAGCAAGTTAGGATAGATGCAATACATTGGCCAAAAGATTAAGAGTATTTATATGGAGTGATTGATATTCATACAATCTGGGAAATAGTGAGACACATTCGACAAACGGGGCTGGAGATTTTTGAGACATCCTCAATGAAACTGTGAGTACTTGGTATGGGTATGACCAGTGGTTCTCAAAAATGTGCGGCATGCCCCAAAAGGGGAGCATAGACAATTTTTTGATAGAATCAGAAGCTGATTTAAAATAAAAAATACTGGTTAGATTTCATCTTGCCTGTCTTATTTTGGATATTTACATTTCTTTATTCTGATATTTTACATTCCGTCCACTTTTTCAATGTGTTTTTTGAATAAATCATACTATTGCCTTACTGTTATTTGTAGCTTATTGAGCGAGAATTGACAGATTCTAAAATGGGGGCGCAGCATAAAAAGTTAGAGTACCAGGTAAACTTAACTAAAAAGGCATTGTATGTTAAAATTCATGACCCCTTCCCTCCTCACCCAGTGTGTAAGAAATCAGGAAGTGAAAGCTCAACCGAAAAGATTCCGATCGCTCCAAACTATAGTAGCTTCTTACCTAGCAGTGGCTACTTGCGTGAAGCCTTGTTTAAAGCAAACTCAATTTAAATATGTGGTATAATATAAAAAAGCTTATCTCAGATCAACATACTCAAAAGTATAGTGAATTTTTCATTGCAGAATATCAATATTGAAATAATTAATCTCACCTCCTTTCTTGGCAGGATTACCGGTTTGACAGTCGACAAATCTACTTTTTTAGCTTCATTCTTCATCTTTGGTGATTCACCTAATGTAGTGATGTTGAGTTGTTCTAAAACACTCTGATCTCGATGCAGACAGAGAGATGCAAATAACTGGAGGCTGGCAATCAGTAAAGTTCTGAATGAACAAAAAAAAACTATAAAAAATTATAAAATGAACTTTTTTAAATTCTTGTCATTCGGACATTGGTAATTCAAATTCTTTTCATTATTCTGCTTCAATGCCTCAAAGATCTACAACCATTGTCAACAGTTCAAAAAGGTGAAAGTTTCGGAATTTTTCTCAAAGCTTTTTTAATGCTTTATTCAAAAAGTTTAAAAGTGTGCTGGCTTTCAGTATTTATTAAACACGAGGTTTTAAAACAGAAATTCTATTATTTTGCTTAGTAAAAAGATCCAACATTTGAAATATATAACTTCTTTTCACCTGTGTTTCGATATTTTAAAAAATACGGCAAGTCCATGAACTTGCATAAAACCAATCTCTTCAAGATATTTTCTGATGTATCTATTTCTCCATAATACAGAAACACCATCATCATGTACTCTCAACTGTACTTCAGGTGTGTGGCGTGTCACAGCGAGCTGAAATTTACACATTCAATATCAGTTTTGGGTATTCCAAGATACACCTAGCCATCCAACGGTGTTAATATCTGAAGATATTGACCAGAAGTTCCATAACATGGGGAACTTCATTCCTTTATCTAGCATATGTAGAACTTACAATCATCTGATTGGCAATTTTAACAATGCCATTGACATAGTTTACAATTTGTACTGATTGAAGATTGTGGATGATTTATATATTTAGGGTTATAGGTCTTAAGGCCTCTAATATTGATATGCTATTCGATTAGAATAAGATGTCAGTCATAATATGTTCAGTCAGCTTTTGGATGGGTGGCATATCATCTTTTGTAAGACATGAGTCCTAAAAATATGAACAAAGTTTATAATGTAAGAACGGTATGGAACTTTGAATTATATATGTTTCTCAGATTGGGTTTGCACTAAATATGATCTAAACAAGTATTCAATTTTAACTATCAACAACTAAACGAGAATATCGGTCGAGGACCGAAGACTTATCGATCGAAACTGCGGTTTTGAATCATGACTCTATAGTGACACCTCGTGTCCCATCACTAATTAATTAATAACTCGCTAATTATACGACATAATTCATCCAAAATCAATAGGCTGACTATGAATGCACATGCAAAATTCGGAGCAGATTCAACCACGCCTTCGTGAGATATCGCGTGCATCTAACAGACAGACAAACAGACAAATACCTATCAACATACTTACCGATCTAAAGATCGATAAGTAATAAATAGATGTAATTTATTCTTACCAAATCAATCAGAGAACATAGAGTTGCTTGTGATAACGGAAGAATCCTGGCCAAACATTGAAGTGCAGTATCACTGCTACAAATATCTACAAAGTATGATAAAATAGTCAGTTTAAGAACACTCATTATATATGAGGCCATTATAATTTCGATTTTGTTACGAAGTCAGCCCCAAAAATATCTTATATCTTAAACGAAAAATCTTCGAAATTCGAAAAATTTTAAGACATTATGAACACCCATTTAATAATTAATCCCAATTATTTTTGTTTTTGAACATCATATTAAATGTGTTAAAAACGGTTATAGTTTATCATTACAACAGGTTATCATCACTGCAGGTGCAGAATGACCCCTAATCAGGAGTGAATTTGTTAGAAATGTAATCTTACAAAGGGAAACAATATAAGAGGGAATACTTCTCTATATATGGTTTCCTATTTTATCCCATAACAAAACGAATCAATTAGTTTCTGAACAGGGAGTTTGAAGCTAAATGAAATGATATATAGGCTAATGAGTATGGATGACATGGACTCGTGGTAAGCATACTGGACTTCACCATGTTAGGTCACTGGTCAAAGATCCTGTGTATCAACCCCATATATCAAACATGGAAGATTATAGACCTTGCATTGATGGGATATATCTCTATATATCAGTGGATACTTGCCCTGAGCAATTTCAATGGTGAAAGTATAAAACACTTCCAGTTGATTGATATCATTCACTCTATTTCTATATATAAATGGTTTGCAACCTTGTAATCCAGTCAGAGCTTGATGAGCAGGCAATAACATCCCGTCTTTGTTCCAATGAGGGAACACAACGGCAGTGACCTCTTGACCAGGGGTGAAAGGAGATGCAGAAGTCAGATCAGGAGGTGGTCGTGGTACATCTGCAGGTTGGAAATCGAATCCGAGCTCCAAGAGTAAATCTACAGCTCCTGGAGAAACATTACACAAATCAATTTTGAATTGACAAAACACCCTAATGAGCAAAACTGTTTTGGGTATTGGAATGAGGTTAGTTACTCTTCTTGTGTTAATATTATGCTACTACACAGGTTGATAATCCACTAGTTGGTAATTCCTTTGTTCCCCATCTAGTCTTTGTATCAAACATGGATAATTGGGTAGTTATTTTCATACCCAACCTGGAAAGGTAACTGAACGCGAGGCCATGGTTTCCCATAATCAGGCCATCTTACCGAATTTCACCTTTGTATCCTGAAAATCAAGAAAAAATGATTATCTTTTCATAAGTTGTTTTGCAAAATCAAGCAGAACAGTTACACTCGATACTCAATAAATACTTACGGTAGTAAGACAATACATACCTTCAGCATTACTGATAATCTCCGGTAATATAATTACAGGACGGTCTGTGTTTGAGTCCGCTGTGAGTCTATCCATTGCTTCTTCTAATAGTTCAATAAGAGCTCCAACAACATCACGGTTCGTTGGTCCCAATTGTTCATGATCATGTGCTTCATGTTTCGTTACATTTTTTTCTCCAAGGCCAGGGGGAAGTCCATCTTTGGCTTCAATGTAAGGCGGAATTGGTCTTTTCGGAATCAAATTTCCTGATAATTGTGAAAACTTCATCTGGAGATTCTTCAATGCAATTTCTGGTGTTATCACTGGGAGAAAAACAAAATATGAAAGCAGTGTATACGCTAATTAAAAAAAAATTGTGTGTGATGTTTTTTTGTATAGAAACAGACGAAGCAGATCTTTATATAATTATCGAGTGAGTAACAACCTTTGCGATCAACGTAAGTAATACAATTTAAAGGTGATGTAAATGTATTATAATATAAAATGTATCAATCTAATTGTAATTTTCGAACCAGGAATATTGGATGTGTTCCCATTATAGATAGCTATTTTAAGAAAAAAAATCACAAAATCGATACATTCAGATAGAAATAAAATCGATAGTACAATCAAGTAAAAATGGCATTGCTTTTTCCATATATCATCAAATAGGAATACATTCAAATATTCATTGACTAAAACAGCCTAAGTGATAGTGTGATTCTTACTCCTTAGAAGGATTTGAAAATAAATTTCACACCTTCATTAACAGTACATTTCGGATTCAGGCTTTCGGCTTCCACAAGATCTAGAGATGTATGAAGTTGTGATGTCCTGATGTCAGATAGATTGACAAAAACGTCGGATCCGTACAACTGAATACCTGACCAATATATGGGGTCGGAATGTCTGTAAAATAATTATCACATTAGGTATCCTCAACCACGATATTTCAAATTCGGTAGAATATGTGACATTGAAAGAGTATTTGGTTCTCGAAATTAGATTTTTTGTTCAATACAATAGGTTTTTTATTCAGACAAGAAAAAGAGAAAGTTGTTAAGAATAAGATAGTGTAATCGTATGATAAAGTATGATGTTCTGTCCAGTTTCGAGTTTCTCGGAATGTAAAGGAAATTTGTTTGAAAAATGAATGAGATTTGTTGTTGGGTACGAAGTAAACCGATATATTGTTTTGCTAAATTGTTATAATCGTCAAAATAAAAAATCAATTTTTACTTGGATCAAGTGCTGAATCCATCGTTTCATTTTAGTTTCTCCTACTGAGCTCTTATCATTATATTTTTTTGCAGATTGCTTGCTTCATTGCTCAAAAAGCATTACTTTTACTAAGCTTTATTAACACTTTATAAAAGAAGTCTCATATAAACCATAGTTTTCATTATCAAAATCAGATTTTCCCAGAGTCGAAATTTTATACAACCATGAGTCAGGAGCCGCAGCAAGAATTTTTTTTCAATCCGTAATCAAGAGTCGATCCATTGAGCCTTGATAGGAATACCTTCATTTCTTGAAAATAGAAACCTATAAATTCTAGTAAATAATGTCAAACTAACTTCTTACGAACAGCTTCCTTAGCATTGGCAACTGCTTTTGACACAAGGTTACCATCCTGTAGTGAATCATAGAAATGAAATAGAAACAATTCCATAACAAAGTCTGGAACATTCCACAACTGGTGAAGAACAGATGAAGCTCCTATAAAACAATACCTAGTCCAAGAAACTTGAGAGATGACATATAAATGAATCAGGCATATTATATCTTGCCTATGAGGACTATCAGTGAGGTAAACAGTGTCTTTTTTATATAAATACATTGTTTCCCTTCACCAGTTGAGCTTAAGAAATTGGTGTAACACGCTGACATGAGGCCAAGATTTGAGAATTAGATATTATAAAACATAAAAGGGGTGATTCATGTATCACAAGTTTATTCATACATGAAAATTTCATGTTTATACTGGAAAGAATTTATTATTTAACAATCTTTCATCAAACAAGAAAAACGTCATAATACTGAGAAGTCAATATAAAATTAGATGCAAGCATATTTCAGATCTAAACTTGTTATTCCCATGGTGTTGAAGCATCAAGGTATAAAACCCTATTGGCAAAGACTTTTCTGATAATTATTTTGAAGATAACGACAGACATTCATAAAAAGTAGAACTTGAAGTAAAAAGCTATTTACAATGTACAGAATATACCTGCTGATAACAACATTGCTGGTAAATTCAGTGTTGTATTCGATTCTTTGTCACCAGATGACGTTATGTTAGGCCAACCATGACCACAAAGAAGCACAGCTAAATGCAGATTATCGAGTTGCAATAATTTTAAATCTTCCGGTTTGAACAAATATGTATCTTCATCAGGAATTGAACCAGAGATTGGGAAAGAATCGGGTGACCATGCAATGAATCCTGTATAACAAGGCATAGAATTGACAGCATTGGTAAATATGGTCAATAATAAGAAGTAGTCTGATAATTGAAGAAACACAAAAAGAAATAAGACTCTCTAATATCTTAGGTATCTTGATTCTTACTACTTGCATTACATATCCACCAGCGTAAAAGCATAGAAAAAGGATGAGTAATTCATCTTCCAAAAATGTAATCGAGAACATAATCTAGTATATAGTTACCCATCTATGACTGACAAATTTGATAAAAATTTACATAACTCGATTTTTTAGAGTTAGCATGATGATAACAAGACTAAATTGATGCAACTTCTGATTTTTTAATAAAATTTGCCGTTATTGACAAAATTGATCAAATTCAAAAAAACTATTTCTGATTGTTTTTATATGACTGTTTTTGATGAAATTTGTTGTTTTCGATGTAATATCATCATTTATGTAAAATTTTACAAGTAAAATTGGCAACATATCAATTATTTCGCAAAAAATTTGGATTGAAAACCTATGGAATACAAAATTGATCCAACATAGGCCAGTATATTCCTCTACCATGTTACTAATTTACTTTATGAAATCAAAACAAACCTTTATTAATGTCTACAAATGTTGAAATATGGAGAATAGAAGACGTTTTGATTTCTTCTATGAAACGACGCTTTGTTGCTTCATCCCCTAGTATAGGACTCACATCAAAATATTCTGATACCTAAGTAAGTGATGTATGTTTGATTAAGAACTAAAGTTATTATTGATTTTTCCCCAAAAAATGTCAAGTCAAATTATGATTCGTTTATTAATTCTATAATTATCCCAAGGGAGAGAAATGAAGATATATGGTCTGATTATATGATGAAATGGGGCCTCTCGTCAAGTTACCAAACTAGCTACAGGAATACTTGGATACATAGACACGGATGACATGGGGAAAGTAGAATTCACAAAATAGCTGTTTATCTTATATATGACAAGAAGATTGATACTTCCCGTTGAAATAATTACCAGCATGATTACCATGATTGTGAAATTATATTGTATGAAAGGTAAAACTATTCATATCTTGACCTTTTTACATTCTTTCATAGCAACAGGTAGTTTCGACCTTGGATTCCATATTTCACCTTGGTAATGAAGAGAAAGTGGCAAAGATGGACAACCAATCACAGTGCATTTTTGCTTCTTTGAATCCTGGAAAATATATCCGTAGGATAAAAATAGAGCTAAAATGGTATGATATGATAAAACTAAAACTCTGCACAGAGTCGCAAGTCTACTATGTCTTCAATTGTATATTTTGCCAGCAATATTGAAAAAACAATGAATAAATTAATCTTAGCTTGGCTTTACAAATGAAAAACTTAAACTATTAAATAATAATCTGATAACCAAATCAAACCAAAATTTGCTATTCGAAAATGACCAAAACTTTTTGATACAGAGAAAAGTTGTGAATGAAAATGAAATTCAACTTGAACCACCATATTTATCACAAAGGAGGAAAAAGCCGTTGAGATGACTTATTCATAAGGCAAATCACGGCCTCTCATCCGGTTACCAGTCCATGTCGAGTATGAGAATATTTAGACAGTTGTTCATTCAGATGCATGGACTTGACGGTGGATGAAGCCATAATGGACCAGCGCTTACATGAACCAATCTACGATGGCAAAGAGCCCTGTAATCCTCCTGTACATAAATATTCTCCAAAGAATTTGAACCTGCAGGTCCATGAAGTGAGATGACAAGCATTTACCCAAAGTTACCGTGTCAGTTATGTTTAGAAATAAAACATTATGCAAATATCCATTTTACTAGATACCAACAAGCATAGTACCATGAAGTACCGTATTTTCTCGAAAATACTCCTATAGCGCAAATAAGCTCCCTAAAAACGGCCTTAGAATGGCGATTTCATAAAAATTCGCTAATAAGCCGTCCTACGAATTGTTACACACCCGACACCTTAAGCTAATAAGCCGGTCCCCTAGTTTGGAAACTTTTTTTTTTGAGTTTTAAACTTGGTCTATTCGCGGGAATAAATGGTACTAATTTCCCTTAATTTTGAGTTTACTACCTACTTTCACAATTTTCTGCAGGAACATATCGCTCAAAATACATACTTGCTTATATGGAGGAATATATCTTGGTGATGTAAGTACATTTGTTCCGGTAGCTGTTTTAGTAACAAGTCGTGAAATGCTTGATGAAAATCCACAAAGATCAAGAGCTTGAAGTGAATCTTCATCACCAAATGATTTCAGCAATTCATTATGCCTGAAAAGCAATATTACTTACAAATGAAAAAAAATAAGAACTTTAACCACAGCGAATTAATAAAGTGTCATTAGAATCGTGACTAAGTTGACACATATTGGCTCAACTCAAACCACCTCACAACTTAAGAATCTTACCTTATGCTGGAGCTTACTTTCAGTTTTAAATATAGTATAGTTAATAAATATAGTATTTGGAATAATCAATAACCTAGGCTTTCATATATATGTCACAAATAGCAATAGAGTAGAGGTCACCAAGGTCATAGGTTCTCTGTCCCATTAGGGCCCCAAGGTACCATGAGAGAAACCTAGGGGCAACGTAAGGTATTCGTTAACTTATTAAAATACTGAATATTTTTAAATACAAAGCAGTAAACACATCCGAGTCATTAATTAAACTAATTTCAACTTATTTAATCGGTTAGTAACAATGTGTTTTTTGTTGTTATTTTTATGAATTTATTGTGGGGTTTCGTAAATAGTAGTCAACCTTTCACATGCTTCACAACACCAAAAGTTTCGGAACCCCTGTCCTAGGCTTCAAATCTAAAAACTGGTGGCATCAATGGACATGATAAGAATCGGATTCGACAGTAGTCATCCAAAATCTATTGCTTTGTAAATGACCCAGTCATGAGGTCTGGAGATATTTTATAATTGATTCCTACTCCGGTTCGAAAATTTTTTTTACTCTAGCATGATGGTAATTCAACAGGGACTAAGGATTCGAACTTTTCGAACAAATTTTGATAATGACACTTTGGCACATGCAGGCCTTCTCTATCAGACTGTTGAGAATACTAAATCAACTTTATATTTCTGTAGAAATTTCAGACGTTGATTAACACCATTAAAAGTCTGTAGTTCCAACTCTAGCTCCGACACCAATGAAAAGTTTCAAACATTTATTTCTCTGTCCTAACATAGAGACACGACTAAACAGATGGATGTTTGACCTTCTTGTGAAGCACTTTCAACTTATGGCTTGAGTTACGTATCAGACATTGTTACATAAACATACCTGAAATCTTTTACAGCTTTATCATGTACAGATTTCCGAGTTGACCTAGAAGAAGTAGGCCTGGGACTTTTTCTCTGACTTCTGGCAGAAGATTTTGATCGAGGAGAATATTTCTGTTTTACACTGGGTTCTTTATGGGAAAATGATGAGTGTGTTTTTGGTGACAAATTTCTAAACATTAAAAAAAAAAATTGAACAGAGATAATAAAAAGAAGCAAGCAGATTTGGATTATTATGTAATACTGAGTATGGGAATCAGCGCTGAGACTGAGAGTACAGATTTATATTGAGCGCCGTCTGTCCAATGTCCAATTGACAATAAGTTAACCCTTTCCATGCGATTTTTATTTTTTATTAAAGAGCTTGCAATTGGCGATTAAAAAAAAGTTTTTTTAAAAGTGGTGGTCTGAGTCACAAACCGGATAGAAAAAAGGCATTTTTTTTTCTTAGGAGTTGAAACTTCAAACTGTGACAAAAAATAGAAATATTCGCTAAATCCTTTACTGTTACCGCTTCGTGGTTGGCAAACAATAGCATAATATTGCTGTAGCAGTTTCGTGATCTAACTCAAAATACTTTGGTAGATGGAAGGGATAATATGTCTTCTATTACCACCCAAAAAACACCGAAATTTGCATAAATTTCAAAAACACTCCCTCGTTCCGCCGCAAATAAAATTCCCGTCGTAAACGAAAGCGAGATTTACCGTCGCTTATGTTGATCACGAAGAAGACTTCTTATCAATAAACTAAAACCCGGAAAAACTAGACCAACAGTTTGCGACCGATTGCTAAATAAAACAGTGGAGTACATCAACGTACCCGCCGCAATCTAGCGACTTTTGTCGTTGGTATGTATACGTGCCCACCGCACGGAAAGGGTTAACAAAGATCAATATTAAAAATTTAAACCAATACTCACACTGTTTTCACTCTAATTTAGTCATTTTTTGTGGTTTTGTGACCCATACTTGAGAGTCTTCAATTTTTTTTTTATTTCATATTGTTGTATTTTGTAATGACTAATCCCTCATTTAGTTTTCAGAGAAGTTTTAGCGAAATACACCGCCAAAAACAGCAGGACTAAAATATGCTGACAGTATTTTTAATTGTTTAAATGTTTAGATACTGAATTGTGATTTCTGAAAAGCCAACCAGTCTAAACACTTTAAATCATGCTAAAAATAAAATTTGGTAAGGTATTGAGAAGAATTTCCTGAGGTTAAAGATCAGGGAAATATCCACCAACTTGACAACAGAATATAATAACATTTGCAAAATGAAAATGTTGTACCTGTCATGACCATCATCTGGTTGATTGCACAACAAATAAGTGCATGGTGCAATTGTAATATTAAATCTTTCTCCTAACAAACGTTTTGACGATGGATTGATCAAACAATCAAATGGAATCTGAAACAAAATATATTTGTTTTGCTGTAATTTGCATTCAAACAAATATGAAAATATATAAAAAAATATTTTCACAATTCAATCAGTTTATTTTTCTATCTGCAAATTGAGGCACCAGTTCAGAAAGAAATTATTGAACATAATCAAATCCCATGCCCGCCACCTCACCATCGCCATGGGAGATGTGGCGCATTGTGCTAAGCGTAAGAAATACGCTCGCCACCGCATATCTGATTAACCTGCGTGTGTTCGCAGGTTTGAATCCCATGCAAGGTTAATTATGCGGGGGAGGATTGATGGACCTCTCGCCGTCATAGGGTGGTTCATGTAACCGCTGGTCAGTTACGGCTTCCTCCACCATCAAGTCCATGCTTCCGAAAACAAATATTCTCATACCCGACATAGACTTTCCTCTCTCCCGGGATAAATATGTAAATCCTAATATTCGAATCTAAACTCAAACCTTGTGTATGAGAGGTTTGGCAAACTCTTCATTATCACAGGAGCAAGTTCTGCAATATATTCAACCGTGTTATCAGCTTTCCCCTCCTTCGAATCAAATATAAAAATTGTCTATCACTCACCTTCTTGAGAGCCTTATCTGCGATCACTATAATATGCTTATTTTGTTGAAAATTCATCAACATTTCATCGAGAGGTTGAATTAGAATCTCATAGAGTTCTTCCAAAACAGACAGTTGCTTTCTATTATGAGCTGCGGATAAGAAAAAGAAAAAATACAGAATTTTAATGATTAATGAAATGACTAAAACGCAATACTATTGTTTAAAAATTATCTGGTTATCATAAAATAAACTATTACAGAACAATTGCATGTTGAAGTTAAGAATTCATTTAATTTTTAAAGAATTTGCTCTGAAGAGGTAAAGGCTGTCTGTGAAAATAAAGTTATCTGGAACCTCGATTGGTTATCTATTTCAATATCAGATCTGGGATGATAAGCCGTGGTTCGCCACAATATTGAGCCCCATTATTTTCTCATCCCACAGAAGAAAAATAAAATGTTGGGTTTTGGATTAGCCAGTTATTTGTTTTCAGATGCTTGACTTGATTGAGGAAGCCATAAAAAATAAATTAAAACAAAACTATCTATTTTTAATTAAAGAGGGGGCTAAAAGGGTTGAGAGTCTTTGGAAGGGAGCCATGAATCTAATCGTTATAGAACCACTGCTCTAGTCTAGTCCTTCTCGCTAACTTTATAGCATATTAATAAGTGTATTTTATGTTTGGCAAAATAAGTGCATCAATTGGATGGAACACATTTTTGAGAAAAATGCTTTAGTAACAATTTTTTAAGTTTAAAAACAACCTTCTCCAACTGCTTCTCCACTGCCATCCTCCGGTTTTATCGATTTTTCTTTCACAACACCATGATCACCGGATTCTAAAGCCTTGTTCGCCTTATCGATTCGATCAATATTTTTTATCTTTGGAACAGGAATGAAATGAGTTGCAGACTGTGGAAGACATCTGAAAATATGGCAAAATTGAGTGTTGATTTGCTTAAATTCAGCTCATATCGATTTCATCTATGATTCAGACGTTTCATCAACCTTTTAAACCAGCGAGCAAGCCATGGTGTGTATAATGGTCCGAGCATATTCTTGTTGTACAATTAGTCATAATGGTGCATACTTTTTAGAATAAATTAGAATAAATTACTTCCATTAATTCCAAATTTACAGAAAAAGTTTTACCTTGTTTCAGAATTATATATGTCTCTTAGTTTTTTATTTTCTGTGATTTTTCCGAGTTTTTCAACCAGAGCTTCAATTCGGGGGCGAGTAGAAAATGGCTTTATATCATAAGTCGAGGACAAATAACTTTTCATTTCTTGTTCACCAGGATTGATTAGTTGTACAAGAAATCCTGAAAATGAGAGATGAAGTTACTCATATATGAAGTTTGTATATCATCCCATATTAGTGGTTTTAAAACTTTTTTTATCAACTGGATTGGGACACATGGGACATGTGAGACAAGTAGGATAAGTGTGACACATGGGACAAGTGGTACATGTGAGACACATAGGACACATTGGATAAGTGGGACATGTGAGACAAGAGGGACACTCGGAACAAGTGGGGCACAACATTTTTGAGACACTCCATAAACTATGAAGTTGACACATAGGAACAGCACATACTGGGATTTAAAACTATGATATCTTGATCACCAGACGAGAGAAGTAACAATTGATCCATGGCTGACAATGCTATTCAGTAAGTGTTTTTTAACTGATTTTATAAAACAACAATCGACATCAAAACATTACCTTCATCATGAAGTGAATAACTCAGCACAACAGCATCATTCTGGAGATAAGTTGGAATGAAATTGTGATAATTAATCAAATCCAAATCAGATTCTTCTTTATCAGTATCTTCCTGTTCTTGTTGTTCAGCCATTTCTGTATACCGGTATTTAAATCAATGTAAATCCGTATTTAAGAGATGATTGATGAGGTATGGGCAGTTCACCATGATGGAACAAAATGAGGAATAAACAAGCGCTGATGCTTTGTCTTCCAACCCCTGATTCATAACACATTTTTGTTACCAATCAAATTGTTATTAACCATTCAGACAATCAAGGACAGGACAATAGAATAGAAACAACATAAATATAAAGAAACTCCATGCCTTCATTAGAAATGGACAGCAATAGCATAACCATACACGGTCTACTTATCAGTGGATACCTCCCAATTTATCTATGTGTGAAACGTCTAGGAAAAATCATCACAAAAATACAACAGTGTGTAAATTTGAGGCCAGGACAGCATGGTCCTAATATGGCACTACGAGGAAAAACAGGGAATCACCCTGTATATTATTTTGATGCCAAGCTAATCTAGTCGAATTAGCTTAGATTTTCAAAGTGTTAAAAAAAATTTAAATAAAAATTATATTACGGTAAGATGCATGTTATCCATAGGAATGAAAGATATCATTGGAAATGTGTGATATTTTAATCCTTTTGTGAAAATTTCATGTTTTCTTCTTGTTTTCTCAACTATAGTAAATCATACCTTTCTTAGGATCAGCATCAGTAATCGCAGACATCGATATCACAGGAATTTGAGGTCGTTTATCGAATAACTGAATAAATTTTCTTCGTCTGTATGCTTCAACAAAAGCAAATGACATCTCTGCCTGGTCCAATTTATGGAGAATCACCTGGAAGTAAACAATCTGTTTAATGATTGTACATGAATTGAAGCTATATTCAAAATTAAATATGTATATTGTACACTTATAAACTATGCCAAACCTGCATCGCATTATAGCATTTTCCCAACATATTCTCCTCTTCATGGAAATACTTTCCTCCATTGCTTCGATGAGAATAAATATGCTCTTCTTGAAACTGTATCATTTCATATAAGATATTCGCTGCTTTTTGAAGTTCCTTATGCATGCAAAGAAACAAAAAATTGAGTAATTAGATTGAAAAGTAATTTGGGCGTCAATATTAGATAACTCAAGCCATCTGTTTCGGCTTTAGCTTTAGTTCCGGTTTAGTACTTCCCAGTACTCAATATCAAATAAATCAAATTGAATTACACAATTAAACCAAATTGTAACAAATATAAAAATACAAGAAATTTCCAAAATATATTAGAAATAAATGGGTTGAGTCAGCTAAGCATTACATCAGCTAATTAGCAAGGCTGATAAATCAAAGCTTTCTCCATTATCTAAGTCCATACCCTTGAAACAACTAAGTAGGTAGACTCGGACTGACACCAAAAGAAGAGTCCCAGGTACGCCTTTTATAAACTTTCCTTACTGGACATTATATTGGTTGTATAATAAACAGCAAATAGATTCTACAAACTGACACTCCAAAATACAATAGCTTACCTTTGATGAATTGGAGTATTGATAATACAGAGCAAGTTCAAAGTTCAGTTTCATTTGTACAGATCTTTTTCCACATTTGTTTGCCAATGCCACAGCTTGTTCACAATAATATGCAGCATGTGTGAAACGATGTTCAGTTGCAAAAACACTTGCAACCTGTGTAGAAAATCAGCTGTTAATTTACGGTATAGATAAGATTGATAGCCTTGAAAGAAAAATGCAAATCCAGGAGTCGTCAAATCCTTGAGTTTCTACGAAACTGGGGTGAGCAAACATGGTATTGAATGTGGGAGGTTGTGCGCCGTTATATTATTAACCATCATATCAGCTTTCCTCTCTCATGCAAAATATATAATTCTTCTTTGTTTAGGAATTATAAAAATTCCTCCTACCTTCCACATACACATGCATTCTGGTTCCAAATCTTCCATCGATCGACTCAATTTTTGAGCATAATTGAAAACATTACGAGCTTCCTCGATTCTTCCGAGCAAAATTAAGGAATCACCTCGAGATAATGCTGACTCCATAATAAGTTGTGGGACTTTGGTCATTCTTTGAAAAAAAAATCCATGGTAACATTATCTAAATTTATACAAAAAGTTTCAAATTTCATAATTCAAAAGGGTCGTTAGTGCAGTGGACGGACAACAATTTGAATTCAAACCACATGCCGGTCGTCTTTGTCAAGGTGATAAATCAAGTGTTAGGCTGCTTGAACAAAGACTTGTTCAGATATGTGAATCACAAAATAAAAAGACATATTGAATGATAGAAAGGTCAGAATATCTCGCTGAAATACAGAATAATAATTGATAGGAACCCTTCAAGTAATAACTGATATGATAAGAACTGTAGAATATGACCTAATAGAATAAGTATCATTATGGCATCGTACTTTGCAATCTTTGATTGTTGTTTAAAACATTCCAATGCTTCTTTGTGTTTTAATTGTTTCATATAAACACTTCCTTGGCATGAGAGAGCTGAAGCAGTGTCCAAGAGGAATGGATTTTCAAAGCCTAAATAAAATAAAAAAGTCAAAGCGGTGACCAATAGAATAGACAAGCAATTGGGCGAGTAACAAGCAATGATCCAGGGCTGCAGGTAAAGTCCATAGGCACTCAGAATACCCAACCTAATAAAACTTTTTGTCAATTTATTACTTCCACCTTAGTTATATCCAGTGCTTCTTTGATTTTTATTATTCTTCAAAATGTCCTTAGCAGGTCTTGAACCCATATTTTCCAGCATTACACAATTGTATAGCTTTACAGATCACAGCGTACATATTCAAGATATTTTTATTCTTTGTACAGATTGTATTAAACTTTTACATACATAGAATAAACTTACTCGTTTTATCTTTAGCCAATGTCTGACTCAAGTTCATCCATTCTGTATAATATTTCATTGCCGATTCAAAATCCCCTCTAAGCTCTTGTAAATCACCAAGAATAAATTTGGACTAGAAAAAAAAATATTGTTGGTATAATAATGGTACACAATAGATTCTTGTGGTATATGTGATATAATGTCAAACAACCTGTCGAGTCGAGGTAAACCGAATCAATGCTGGAGTGATGTATCATATTAAATTACTAAACACTAGGGTGATGAGAAAAGTACTATAAGCAAACGGCAGGTGTTGGTAACCTGGTACGATGGTACAGTCCAGAAATGGTATGCGTTCGATATTATTCAAATAGGTATTTTATATTGCAAATAGTTCGAGCCTGTGACCCTGGGGTGCGATGACGGACACCTGTACTCAATCATTGAAAAATGAAAATGAGCGCTATAGCCGAACCAAACTTAAAAAGTGATCACACACGTGGCTCTATTCATTTTTGATAGAATTATAATAGTTATAACATCCCACAGAATAGTATAGTAATACCTGTAGTATTCCAGATAAATCAACAGATCTTTGCGTAAATATGGAATCCATAAAACCAAGAGTTGGAACAGATTTTGGTCGAAAATCATCAGTAAATTGTCCTGCAAATCCAATCACATCTGGTGTTGGAGTGGGACTGGCATTGATTAGACCAATCAATGAATCATATCTGAATCAAAAATTAATGGAAAATGTTGTAAGCTAGTCCGCTCACAAAAAAAAAGTGTTGAATGATATTATTATGGCACTAGTTCTTGTAATGTTCAAAATCTTACAATACTATGATGCAAAGTATATTTATTATTGATAAAGTGGAAGACTGCGTTAAAACTTGAAATATTGATTGTTATTTCCTAAACAAGATGGGGTATGCGAAAAAGAAAAAGGAATGCTGCTATTGTTTAGCCTTGCAGCAAAAAGCATTATGTATTTGTTACCCACACAAGTGACTTTTTGAACATAAATTGTCAGATTCAGTTTTTATGCTTAATGCCAAATGGGTAAAAACCTGAGTGTTGACAATAGCCACTGTAAATTTGAATCATAAGTGGAAATATAAACGCGAGAGAAGTGCTGTGCTTGCCACCATCGAAAACTGATATAGGTTTTTAAGCGGTCAGAAGGAGTTTCAACTATCCATTTCTAAAATGCTTGATTTAACCTGGTAACCAGACGTTGGAGTTGTGGTTTGCAACATGATGAAGTTATTTGCTCTCTCCTCTCCGGAAAGAACATAAAATCATATCTTCAGACCAAGCGTTAATTATTATTTGAGTTATTCGGTAACTTTCCCAGAGTATTATTTTCAGCTTAAATTTTAACTTGATTTAACTGAACTATACAAAAATAAACTAGTATGCTAATATATACAAACCAGTACCTTTCAGCATATATGAGTGCTTCATCATACAATCTCAATGATTTAAACGCAATACACAGATTCAACAGAATGCTTGCTTCCATTTCCATTGACCAATGTTCCCTGAACAAAATGCATTGATATTATGGTATATTCCATATTAAATCTAGTGCGCCTTATAACACAAATTAAATATGTCAAGACTTCACTGTACTTCGATGGTTGGTGTATTGTGCTAAGCAGTGGGAATATGCTCTGCGTCTGAGTACTCTGCATGGATTTCAGGTTTAAAAACTGTGGAGGATAATTATGTGTGAGAGGATTACTGGACTCCGCACCGCTGTAGGGTGGTTCATACGACATATTCATAACATTTAGGTAACACAATTTGCCAACCGCCGAGCTCAGCTACACACTCTATTTTTTGTGTCTCCATCTTTCTAAACATACCTGAACTTAGTTTGATCATCCCCAACTGCAGATAACACATCACGTCCAACAGCAAGTAATTTTATATAATAGGAAGCTGCTTCAGCATGCCTATCATGATCCAAACATAATGTTGATAAATGTAAGTACGTCTGAAAAAAATATATTCTTAGTGGAAGGTTCAGAGAATCGCAAAAATAGGATAGTGGTGTACTTTTTAGGCGTATTCAGAAAATTATTTACTTTAGCAGTACCTTTCTTGAGAAAATTTGCTCAAAACAAGGCTATGCACACCCACTCAGAAGTAGAGGATACTTATCTCTGAGTAAAGTTACATGCAACCACTAAATGGCAAAGCTACTGAAAACTACATAAAATTATAGTGATGCATTACACAGCAATACATGCACGTCTAACAGTGAATAAAAATATTCTTCAAAAGCATAAAATTTAGTCAGAAATTCATTCTTAAAATGAGCATTTCTAATCTCTGCTATCAAGTGTATCAAGTTATCAGGGATTGAAATCTATCGATTTTGTATGTTCATTTTTCATAATTTCCCCTGTGTAATATAATCAGGCCCGCTATGCATCACTGAATTATAGTAACAAAACAGCTGTTTTGACGATTATAGTCTTTACATAACAGAATTTATTGTGCGACCCGTGTAGACTAAATTATATTATAACCTAACAAGTATATATTTCACAACTACTCCTTTAATGCGCCTATAATTTTATTATAATTAGACAAATGACAACAAAACGCAAACGCTAAGGGAAAATGGTTCAAATGGCGCCGAGAATATTCAAATGGAATTTTTTGAGATGCAATGCAATGAGGAATTAAAGCTACATTCTATTCGAGACATGTATCGTTCGGTTTTCAACTTTCTAAAAATATGTACGACCCGGCAATGACACGCAACCCTTAATATTGGCCCGCGGTCAACAAAGGGTTGCCGACCCCTGATGTAGTCAGTACATGTTGCCCATCATATGCCAAAATAACTGGTCTATTTATCGCCTTTCCTCTAATTAAGGGATCCTCGACCAGAAGTAAATTTGACCTGAATCGAGGGTCAATTTTGCAAGAAGAATTTTTGCTGTTAACCACATGCACGATTCTCTGGAACAATTGAATTGATGTTCATTATGTTACTGCTATATAGAGACCTCTTTGATAGTTAATCACAGCACAAGGGTACAGACAGTCTACACAGTTGAAGATGAAAATTTAACTCTTGAAATTTGCCAACAGGTAAACGAGAGAATAAAGGTTGAGAAGCGCTGCCCTAAATGATTATGATGGGACATTGTAAAATCAAAAAACACTATTCAGAACGGAAAATAGTGTTAAGGAATAAGTATGAAATACCTTTGTTTCATAAGATACATCTCCAATTCTTAGAGCAACACTTGAACTCATCTTGAAATTTTCAATCGATTCAGCAAACTATGAAATGAATAAAGTTATGCGAATGAAAAATAAATCTAAAGATAAAAATTCATTAATATTACATATAGCATGGCATAACTTTTAATTTTTCTTGCAGGAAAGAGAAAAGGCATAACAACTTAACCATATCCATATATCGTTATATATGTAAATACAATTATTCTAAATGGGATTCAAACCTGGGCATGATATTAGGTGGTGCAAAGGCATTTTCCTATCACAATTCCTCAACTATCAATGAGCTCCTGATGTGTTGACTGACAGATCAATGGGTTTGGTTTGATTTGATATATTGAAAGTTTATCGAAGACGTTTTTTGTATTAAAGGGTTTAATTCATTTCTAATTTAATTCAAGTTTAATTCATTTCTAATTACATTCACCACCTAATTAACAAGATTCATTGCAATACTGTAATCTACAGACCTTTCCAATTCCTTGCTGACTTTGTGCCAGTACAAAATGTATTTTCATTTTCAATGATTCGTTCATTTCATCTTCGTCCATCTTTGATTTTCCTTTTTCTTCTATATTATCATCTTTAACATGATCTTGTTTTGTCGAACTATCAGCCCTGCCTGCAGAAATATTAAAAATTATTCAACAATAATTTAGATTTGCAATATAAAATGGGGGGGGGGGGATTTTTTGATAAAAAAAACTCACATTTTTCTCTACAACATGAATAAGCTTTTAATTTTATTCTGCTACATGAGCAAACGTTGCAATTGTCTAAATAACAGAATTGGATATATAATTGGGATTTTATTGTCTTCTGTTGTGTAACAAATCACATATGCTCTTACTAAAGAGAAGACTATGAGAAGGTTTGTTAGTTTGAATGAGAATAAATCAAAAAAATTGTAAAAATTGTATTGTTGCATGCTTTGACTGTACTTTAGACATATTTTAAAAATTTAGACATATACATGTCTATATAAAAGTCTACATTAAAATTCCTTTTTCCTAAAACATTTTGCGCCATTAGCCATTTGTAGGTGAAACCAAAGTGAAAATATAAAAAATATTTAAGGGGTATATTTCGCTTTCAACTTTGCGAAGTGATAAATAAGAAAACAAATTTTGAGAATGCTACTTATAAATAATGTGAAATACATTCAATGAGGAACATATTATAAACTTGATTTTTGCTACTCAAGCTCTAACGTAAAATAGGGGTGGATATACAAAAAATAGAATTACCTTCTCAAAAAAGATGCATTCTATTCTATTTAGCGTATTCAAAATCGATATTAATGGCAAGATAAAATTTTAAAATACAAAATTTTCCTAAATGGTCATCTATACCCACTAATTAAACATTTCCAAGACTTTTTTCACATAAGTTTACTCAAAATAAAGACATTAGTTCTCTCAAGATTTTATCCTAAACTGAAGGTTTGAACGTGATTCTCTTTTACTCAGTTTAAATTTATTCATAATATGTATATATTGTTAAGAGCTTAAAGTATCTGAATATTGCTACATCATACCTGCAGGCAGTTTCATTTTTGTTCTTTCATAAACTAACAAAGCAACCTCCATTGATCGAATAGCAAGTGTATGTTGAACTTCACGTCGTAAACTATTGCCAAGGATGTATAATTGGGTTAGTATACCTGAAAATGAATATGAAAAAAAAAATAATAAGTCAAAACAGCTCAAAAGAGTTGCAATGAAAATCTAATAAGGTTAGTAATTTAAGCCTATTTAAGCCCACTCTCTTCCTATTTGTATACATTATAGCAGTGGATTTTACCCTTTGCGAGCCTGCCAAACCTCCACGTTAGTCTGGGAGCTTTTGTCAAACCCCAATGATTTGGACCGTTAAAATCTGGGTGAATATGAACGTTGACGCAAATATTCAACCTAAAATCATGAGGTTTGTCACAACAACAACTATCATGTAAAAGTACACACAAGCATGAGACAGTTATGGTAATTTGAGTGTTCGATGAACTGAGATAGAAGATATAACCGCCATATTCTAATACTAACTTTGCTCTCCGATATTGCTTGGTAATTCCGAAACTGGTCTTGCAGATCTTATAATATCTTTTATACAGTTGTCAACAATTTGATCAGGTGCAGATCCCTCAAGCCATAAGATTTCAAGACAATCAAAATAACAAAATAATGCTTCATCATAATGACCTTGGATTTGATTCAATGTTCCAAGAAGACTGTAACCCTAGAAATTGTTTGTCATTCAAAATTCTATTCAGAATTGATTAATTAGGGATTACCCAAAATGTATAGTATATAATAATATAGATTATGAGAATGACTTTTTTACATGCAAAATACTTGAAAATAAGGAAATACTTTTTCATATTTGAAAATGTAAATGTTATTTCATAATGGCTTCCATGATTGTGATAAAATATCTGTTCATTTTGTTTGATCTGGTGACTAGTGATTATTAGGGTTCTTGGGTTAAATCCAGAAGACAAATCTATGCTAATCAAAATTACAAACAAGATTCAAGAATATTCATTATGATATATGACAAATAAATAACCATAACCATAAATTTAAAAATCACATTTTTGAACCCTGTACAATCAAAGTACACAAACTTTATATTGATTGTCACCAATGCCCATGGACATAAGAAATGAATGTTATTTAAGGTATACTAAATACAAACCAACTTTATAGCTTTCTGGATGTAAATTCACCACCATATTAGCATCATGTATTGCCTCTGCATCCATGTTAAGATGTTGATAGCAATCACATCTCTTAATGTACCACTGTAAAAAAACATTCATAATATTTTTGACTTTGTTGCAAATACATTTTTAAATTGGTAGACTGACAAAGGCACGTCAATCTATAGAGGTCATTGCGGTTAGAACTAACATTCCGTATTTATCACGTTCAAGTGTCAGCAGTAGAAAGGTGACAAGTCTGTCTTTTCTGAATAAAAACTAATATGGCTTGGTCGTATTATATGAAATAATTAATTTGATAATATGATTGTGTTATCCTCTGCCTACCTTCGCTGAATAAACTCACACATAAAGTACAAATCAAGTGCTTTTTTTTAATATTGACAAATTTCAGATATGGCACTCTACCTCGACATCCTTATGTTCACTTTTAGTTGTCAGTTCTGTGAAATAATTTGCTGCTTCTTCATATTTTCTACGTTCATATGCTTTCAAAGCCAACTTTTCAACATGATGTTTCTATCGATAAAAAATAAACAAATATTTTGCAATTTCTAAAAAAAAAATAAAACATCAATATTATCTTCAGACATAGCTGTATTTATATATCCTCATTAGAGTAAGATTTTCTCGACCATCTATGCTTCAACTGGTTTAAAAATGGTAAAGATAAAATTTTTGTTATCAATGGAATGGTAAAAGGAAACATAGACCTGAAAAAGATACTTCGGGTAGTGTTCAAATAAATTTTTTTGCGCATACCACAACTAAATTTCACCTGATATACTAATACAAAGATTATACAAAACTAATTATGTTGTATACTATATTACTGTACATGTATTAAATAGCTCATTATTTTGAGTCTTATAAAAATCACCTTTAGTATTATTTATCTACAGCCTAACCTAAAAACAAGAAAAAACAAAAGAAATACTGAAATGATTCAAGGATTCCAATTTGAATACGCTGATGGGACGTCATAGTGACGTAATTTTCTGGTGACATAGTCAAGTGGGGGTTAGGAATGACATATGCAAAAATTGAGCCAGGCCAACTAGAAGTGCATGTGGTACAAAGCTATAGACTGCCAGACCCAAAAATTGGCCCGTCCCAAAATTTTGGGCTGACTTCGTTCTTGATATACGTTAACCCGAATACTGGACTGGGTAGCCCTTTTCTCAGTCATAACAATGACCAAATCAATGAAAAAGCTTACATCAAAATCATTCTCCAATGCCTCCGTCAAATCTGAATTCTCTTCCATAGTCAGATAGTGTTGTATAGGATATATGAATGTGAAAACATTGCATCAATAATAATACTTACTCCTGACCAACTGAAAATTAAACTACATCAATTACCTGAATTATGTGTGTATTATTGATAGCTTTCATAACTAATCAACATTACAAAACCAGTTTGTAACAGATTTGACATTAATCACCAAATTTTGAAAGAAATCACACACACAGACACAGCCTAACAGTGCGGGTGGAAAAGTCGTGAAATTACAAAATCACATTTATCAATCTATATTCGGATGAAAATCACTACTACTTTACAGTATATAGGTCAGATATATATGAATATTAAATTAAACTTGGTGTGTAACTTATTATTATATGCTTGAATCTGAACTTCAATCAAATTTTAACTTTAACTGATAGTGATAATGTTTGATATACGCGGCAAGCAATTACGCGAATGCAGCAAGAAAAACCTCAGCGTGTGCGTCGTCTGGGGTGACCAAATGCATCCATGTGTAACCACTTGAAGATTGCATTTTATGACCGACTTATCATATTCAAAAAAGCAATACATATGAATTATCAAATACAAAATTATATATGACTATAAAATTAATATATTTGCAATATACATAGCCATTTGCTGCAGCAAATGTATCAACATTTTTCCTTTCCGTAACCTTTAACCCGACATAGTTATACCAGAGCCAATGGCTCTGGTTATACCGTAAATATAATAACCTTAATTTCCTCCTTGTAGACTTTTTGATTCTCGTAGTATCGCAAGCATCAGTACAGGGTTGTCCGATGTTGCCGGCATCTGGGGCCACAATATTATACTTTTATTCTTCGCAGACCATACTGATTTTATGCCGTTTTTCGTTACGGCATTTAAATTATATTCTTTTGGCGCCCGCACAACTTGTAGACTTACTCTTGTGTCTTGTGTACATATAAAATGGGAGCACCAGTATTACCTATATTACTGACAACGCTATTTGCAATACATCTTGTTTTGTTGGATCAACAATGAATCAAAATAACCAATGTCTTAGCCCAAATACGTTGGCTTATCGACAAACGCATAGGGATTAGGGGAGGAGGGGTAACCTCACTTTGCGAAAATCTAATGTTTCGGCGCACGTTACACGGGATATCTAAAAGTAATGAAAAGTTTATAACTTCAGCTCAATGATTAAAATAATGGGAGATCTTGATTAAATGCCTACATTTTAAAAATCAGTTAATCGTTACAGGATGGATTCGTTTATTTAACTCCTGTATCCGGAAGCTTGCAAAATACGACTCTTTTGTACGAAGCCCTCGCTACTAATGTGAAATTTGTTGACGACAAATCTGAGTCTATTTAAAATGTTTTGTTTTATATTAATTCAATTGTGTGTACATGTAACCTGCGGTTGCTTTGACAAAATATAAACATTACTGTGAAATATCACGACTATACAAAGTGTTTCAGACAGTCCGATTATATATATTTAGTTTTGATTCGTATTTTAGCGATGTTGGGAATTATAAAAATTTAATGTGTTCTTGCAACACTGACTCCGCTTTATCATAATACTACCACTCAAGATTATTTTCGAGATATCAACGTTAGAAAAATCCCTAGGTCTGCGATGAAATATTAAACTCTATAATTTAGTAGTACAATATGAATTTATTGTACAGTGATACCTGGGTAGTCGACAAAAACATTCGAGTCAAGAATGCTTCGTTTTTCGAACGGAAATTCGGATCTTCAACAGCCGAGCGGAGCGCCCGGCCGAGTGAGATGACAGGTCAAGACTGAGGGACGAAAATCTTGGTATGTAGTTTAGAGATTCCAAATCGTCATTTCGTCCTAATATAAAGCGCTTTGTAAAGCAAAAAACTTTCCAAAAAATTCACTAAGCAAAACCTGAATTGAATGTTCTATTTATATTTTATACTGCAATATATCATTAGATAACTTCATCTTTATGGATGCTGTTGTTCGTTTTTGTTGATGAAAATTAATAGGCACCATACTATATATGACTAAAAAGTTGTTCGGCCCGCTTACTCAGCGATGACTGATAAAATGGCCCGCGAGAGCAAATGGGTTCGTCACCCCTGATGTAACAAATGATAGCCTTCAAAAATTTCGGCCAGAAATGAACGAAAGAAAATTGGGAGTATGCGGTTTTCAATATTGTGAAAAAAAAATTACCATGGCAACAGATAAGTAACAGTGGTTGTAAGGTAGCAATGGTAATTTTTGCCACTTTTTTCCAGTCCTAACCGGTGACCACACAAGTCGACAACTGCTATGACAGCATGCTTTCTAGTCGTGACCACCTTGTTAAAGTTGATTTAGATTAAAAAGCTGTTATTCTAACCTTTCAGTTGTGATGTAGGCGAGATATCTCGCATAAACGGTTTATGTTCCACAAAAATTATAATTCATCTTCTGAATATAGATTGTAAGCGATAAGACACATTTAATGAAGGTGACGTCTGAAAACCATGTTCTTCGCCGTTGTTTTGCAATGAATTTCGCGGCATTGGCAATGGAATGTTTTCATAAGATTACATGCCTCATATTTTGATATGCGAAATGCTAAAATTAGTGTCGTACTTTCCCGCAGATCTACACGACTTTGTAAATACATTATTTTCGCGAAATTGAAAAAAAAAACTCAATTTGAAATCCTGACTCCGTGCTTGAGAGTTTAGACACATGATCGGTCGCAGGAAGAGTGCAGTGCAAAGCACGTTGATAACGAGAAATGGTGAAATACTCGATTGGCTTTGCAAAATTAATGTAAATCTGGAAATATGTTATCATTTTTTTAATCAGTCCGAGGTAAAATCAGATTTCTAAGCTGTTTATCAATAATAAAGGGCGCGGTATTTATTGTCCAGCGTCCCTTCGGTGTTAGCCATTAACCAAGGTTCACTTTAAACTCGGGAGGATATATATGTTTATTTAGGATCAAAACCGAAGTTTTGATCTAAATAGCTTTAAACCTTGAACGGTTACGCCAGAACTGATAAAATTTAAAAAAATATAAGGTTGCCATGTGCGGGATACCGGTGCTTAACTCAATATTTCAATATGCGAATAACTGAATCATAAATTTTTTAATCATTCTTCGTCTCACTTTTTTGCTCAGCGGGTCGGGCTCGTGCCCCAACACAATGTCACTGTTATCCTAGCCGCATCCATTCCAAGCAAAACCTATTTTAAATTTTCGTGTTTTATTTCTAAATTTCTCCATGATGAAAAATTTGACTTTGAACAACAAAAGATAAAAGGAAAAAAAAAAATAGAAACTAAATAAAATGCACTGAATCGGTGAAATACATTTAATTTACAAATAAGGATAAACTGTTGACAGAATCAAACCATAAATCAAATTCAGTGATGCATGACAACAAAAATATTTCCGTATTGATACGAGGATGATAGGGGTTATATTTCGCAATTGTAAAATATCGTTTATTTTTTTAGTTTTCAGAAAGGTATCCTACAAAAATAAGCAAAAAGCCATTTGAGGATGTAATTGTAAGAGATGAAAAAATTTACTTAATATTAAAAACTAAAAATAAAGCTGAAAAAAACAGAAAAGCACAATATTAAAGCTAAAAATAATAATAATGTAATAAGATGATAAAGTAAAGAGAGGCCGATCTACGACTTCGAAAAAAAAAAAATATATAAATGAATGAAAATTTAAATTAAAAAAAAAAATCTGATAACATAGTACGATTTACATCTCAGTATAACAAATGAGTGATTTGACGTTAATAAGACACGATTTTTTTTACATGAAAAACGTAAAGGGGCACATGCTTTATTATCGCGTGGAATTATGAATTTGTCATGTAAATTGGTCGAATTGGTCGTAAATCAACCATGCCAGAAATACCACGACTAGCTACGACTTATGTTTGGGCCAAATAATACAAGGAAATTCTAAACACATGGAGATACTGACATTTTACTGATTTTTAAACAGTGTAATTACCAGCTTTTGTATGCAAAATAGAGAAAGAGTTGACGTTGTGTGTGCGGTCTATTCATTTTTATAGATTAAAAAAAAGAAAGACACGTACCATGGTATTAAAAAAATTCATTTTATCGAAAATCGGAAAAAATCCGCCACATACGACCTATTGGTTAAAAATAGTTGTGTGACATGATTTTTTGCTATTTTAGTTGAAAAAATAAGAAAAGAAAATGCGGCTAACTTTGATGTGTTGGTACTAGATAATACTGGTTGTTTATGTGCAAGAGGGAATCATGCATGAACATGCATAAACTGAAGTTAAATTTCGTTATTATTTGCCGGCCCGTGTTTATCTGATAGATAAATAACCTTGAAAGGCAGTGAATAAAAGATATTCATAATTTGGTAGGGCCTGACCAACGTGGTTTAAAAACAGGGTAATTGCAGCACTAAGGCTAAATCTTATTTGTTATTTTAAGAAATGAACATGAAATGAGAATTCTTTATCAGCGTTCGTGATCCTAGACTTTAAATAATCGCCCATTAGACGCAATTACGGCGGCTAAAAATTCCACTACTCGCCCAGAAAAGGAGCATGGTTGCATTTTTTAATGATGACTGCAGTAGGTAGTGGTCGTTGATGTCATGTTTGAAGTCGAAAGAAATGTTCGCATTCGATGATTTTGCAATTATATCTTGAGTCTCTCCCACGCACATCATAGTGACGTCACCCCGATTGACGTCACGGGGGATACGTCACAAGGGATGTTGACGATTCCCCGGATGTGACACTGTCCCTGGTGTTTGTGCACCGTGTTTTTGAACCCTTCCCCATCACTGTATGACACATTGTTTAGATGATTTCGACCTGTTGAAAATAGAAAATTTTTATTTATTTTTGTTATATAATAATTGTTTTCGAAATTGTTTTTCGTCATTTACCATTACTTATATTACCCAAACTAGGTTTAGGATGAAATTTGATACGTAAAAATCAAATAATATTGCTCTAATACAGCAGGAGAATTTCATGTTTCTGGTCAGAAAATTGAAGATAATTTCTTTCGATTTGTAAACATATTTTTGTAACCATATTTTCGATGGTTGAAAATTTCCCAAAAACAAATTAGATATATACATTTCGTCTAATAGGTTTTGTTGAATAATATTATTGTAATTCAAAAATTATTGTATTTTAAGAATTTCCATTTCGTTTTAGGATCAGATAAACTAAAAATGGGCGAATGTAAAAAATTCCCTCATATTTCAGGGCGAAACCATACAATAATATCTATAAATAAAAAAATTAAAAAAAAATTCTTCGGTGTCTCACATAACCTTACATACTATGCAACTACACAAGCTAATAAAACACATAGAAAAACACACATACCTGTATCGTTTATGTGAAGATGAAGAATGATATCTTGTCATACCATTAGGTTGGTCTGAGGCTCTTCTGGCTCGTTGTTGAAGTACGGACAACATGGCGGGCGATAGTGATGAACTCATTCTAAGAGAAAATAAATAAAATTATATAAAGAAATTTGTATTTAAAGTACATTTTGTGGTAACGACATGTCATGAAACATTCAAAAGCGGGCAGAAAAACCAAATTAGACGTCAACTCAATATCTGATATTCATCGCGCTAATGAGATTTCAAAATAGAGCAAAACCATGTGGCGTCGAACGTAAGGTACAGTTAAACAAATAGTGCGGAAACGCAAGGATAAACAATTTGACAATTTTGACATTCCACTTAATCGAATTGTATGGTATAAATTCGTTTTTATTTACGTAAACTCGTTTTTGAGCTTAATTTGTCCATTTAAGCGACAAGCGTTGCTAATTTCCCACATTCAATTACGTTACACCGGGTAACAATTGAGCAGAAAGCGAGTTTTATACGTGGCCTGTGAAGACGTGAGATAATCGAAATTACGTTAGACATCTGGTTTTCGAGGGAAAGCAGTTATTTTTTCATGTCACCCCTATATTTTATTAATAGCCTGCACCTTTGTAGGCGCAGACACAAAAAATCATGTAAGGTTACTTGTATATTAACAAATGAAAATGTCAATCTGCAGACGATATTATTTTTATATTCACGTTCAATTACGATAAGATCGTTTGTTTTTCTATGACTAATATAATCAGGACAAAAACTGGTAATACCGAACTTGGATAAGTTTTAGCCCACCATACGAAGATATCTATTAGTATTAATCAGAATATAAAAATCGACTATTTCCATCACTGATTTAGATTTTATATTATTCAGTTGATTGTTTCGTAATAATTGATTGTTACGCAACAAATATTTGAATTTGAACCCAAGTAATTGGTCTATTCTGGTTCGTCTGTCATAATTAGCACGCGTAAATAGAGACAGGTGTCATGTATATCATCTACATCTGCGTTGGGAGTTTTTACTGATTTTGAATTCGTAGTCAACGACGGAATAGTGAAGTTTAAATTTGACTTACTTATCATCGAAGTCATCCCATCGTTCATAATCGCTGTCGTCGCTAGATGACGTACAAGTGGAACACCAGTCTTCCTCTTCGTATTCGTTTTGAAAATGAGCTCGTTTCTTATTCCCTCGTTTCTTGCTATTGGGTGTTAAAGCGAAGTCTGTCGATCGAGCTCGTTTCATTCGCTTACTACATAGTCTGCGACCGGATTCACTGCTGTATAATGAATAGTGATTTTGTTTATTAAAATGTAAATCCAAAAGGAAACAAAACACCAAGACGGTACCCAATTTTTTGGGGAACACTCAATTTTTCTGCGTAGCATCGAAACACAAGCTGGTCCATTCCATATTTACAGAACGTAAGTAACGAACTAAAGGGTGATGCTGGAATGTCACTAATATAATCTTTATATGGTGAAATATACATAACTAGAATTAAATAAATCTATCAAATTGAAAAGCACCGTTAGTGTAAAACCTCCAAGCAAAGATTGTGTACAAAATTATACATGCAAAATTGTGAGTAAAAAAAGCTTTGTTGTAGTATACAAACCTGGCACAGCTCTTCTTACTCTTATGCATTTTGTTGGAGAAAATAGACGATGACGTCACACCAAGATTGAGAGCGTTGGCAGAAGCGGTACGTGAAAGCATCACGTGATCATCTTGAAATCTGGTTTTCGATTTTTTGCCATGTCTAATATTACAACCGATCAATCATCGAGCAAGCAGGTGGAGTGAAATAGAAGCAGAAAGAAAGAAAAAAGTGCATTATCAATTAGTGAAAGTGCATTGTCATAATTATAAATACATGCGGTGTTAGTGGCCATATATTCAAAAGTTAAAAAAACAAAACAAAGATAAACTAAATTGAATTAAAGCCTATTGTGCATTCTATAAATTAGCAAGTGCACATATAGGTAATAAAAAAAACAAGTAAAACAAATCTAATCGCAGACTACGAAAATTCATTAAAACAAAATAAATAAACGAGAAACCGTACCGTCATAATCATAAATACATGCGTTGTTAATGGCCATATATTCAAAAGTTAAAAAAAACAAAAACAAAGATAAACTAAATTGAATTAAAGCCTATTGTGCAATCTATAAATTAGCAAGTGCACATATAGGTAATAAAAAAAACAATTAAAGCAAATTTAATCGCAGAGTACGAAAATTTATTAAAACAAAATAAATAAACGAGAAACCGTACCGGTAAAACCGTTCAAGCGGGAATGAGCGCTCTTAGTGCATTCCAGTAATTAACCAAATAGAGATCATCCGTCACAAAGTCGACGGAGCGGGATGACTAAAATCAAATCGGCTGAATATATGCTAATTTCAAGCGAGGGCCATGCATGGTCACGATCAACGGCAAATCATTAAGAAACAAGTAAAAACGTTGCTATTGTTAATTATATGAAGCGAATTACTGCTACTAAAAATGAAAAGAAATAGACGTTTGGTTCAAATCCAAGGTACGAAAATGCCCTATATGAAGCAATGTTGTAAACTAACGTTACCGGTTTCTTGTGAGCGTGAGCCCACGGAAAAAAATCGCGGCGCCCGCTGTGGGCGACTGACTGGCTTTTAAATACAGATTAATATTATTATTGCGCCGAAAATAACTAAGAAACGTCATCATTAAAACTCGCTCATGGTGGTAATCGGATTTCTCAAATCCCAAGTCGAAATTTATTGATTGTCATTTATAGTGTTTACCCGAGCGTGGTGTTTACCATAAACGACTGATTTATCAATCCCCCACGCATGGTTGAATAAAATCCACAAATAAGCGCAAAGGAATTACTTATAAATAAAATACGGAATAAACTCGGAAGGTAAATAATGTTTTCGTGCGTAAACGCGATTACTGAAGACACCAAAGCGATGTGAATCATGACGTCATACGGCGTCATAGGGGTGTGCTGAAAACTCAAAGTGGTTACTAGATTAGTCATGCATTTGTTAGGCTCAAAATACCCATACGCTAAAATGAATAACGAAAAATAAAACACAAAAAGTACATACCGAGTTTTGAATGACAGTTGTTTTTGAGAGTTGTGGAAACGGGCACTGTTGTAATGTCTGTCACCGCGGACGAAATTTTCGTCTTCCTCGTCATCGTCGCCGTCAGATCGCGCATGCGCAGTTCGACCTTCGACGCCAACAATTTTCTTTTGGACCTCAGGGTCAACTGAAACATTAAATATTTTAAAATATTGAAAGATAATACGAAATAATGTCAAAAACGTTATTAGAAAAGTAAATAAAATTAGTACCAATGACCTTAAAATTGCCTGAAATACTAGAAAAAATTTAATTTTGATAGAAACACATTAATAAAAACGACAGGTGACCCATAGGTCGCTTGAAATATTCATTAATTCAACAAAAATTCAATATTGGGTTCAAAAAATAAACAAACCGGTTCATGTCAAGTCAAATATAGCACCGTACCGTAAGAGATTATGAAAACCTTATATTATAATGATTGTAACGAATGTAATTCGAGTAACAAGAAATTCAAAGATATGAATCGTGTTTTCGAGGTGAATACCAAGGATTGGGTAACTAGGAATATGGTTTTAAATGTAGAAAACGTGACAGCAATTGACAATGACAGGGCATTAATGGTTTTTCGATTGACAAAGATATGGTTGGGCAAGATATAAATACCCTGTTACAAACTGTTACGTAGTTACTGCAATTTTTGGGGTAAATTGTACACTGTTAGAATTTGCACATGCGATTCGGACAATTACAAATAATATGCCGAATGTCATAGAATTTGTTCCTCTTTACCCAAATCCAAATTGCACTGTTTTTAATAAATTCTGTTGTTATATTCAAATATTTGTTACCGATACAATAATAAATAATAAAACCAACCTGTACAATAGTCGTTCAGTTTTTTGAACGAGTGGTCTGCAAGTAAATCTGCGTCACATTCCCCATTGCTAGTTTTCGCGGGTATACTGTTGCTTCGGCGACTTTTCTTAAGTATGCCCTTGGGCTCAGCGTGCTTGGCTACATCTGGTAACGATGATTTACCTATGCTGTCGCAGCCTGAAAAAAATTTAACAAAAGACAATGGTTATTTTAGCGATAAGTGAAATAATAGTAGAAATTCGTCTCGAGATCGGAATCTTGTTAAATGATAGCAATTTTCGACTGAAAACCCGCTCGAATTTGGGGGATTAAAGGCATAATTTGCCACGTCTCAGCCTGGGTTTATATTATTTAGATACCGCGATAAAAATGCCAAAAAATTTGTCAAAATTTAATTTTTTTCGTGACTCAAGAGTGTTTCAAGGCTAACGACATTTCATTAGAAAAATAAACAATAAGGTACTCAAAATACCAAAGGTGGTGGGACGAATGATAACTCTTCAAAGGGTTACCTAATTGATCATGAACTGAAATATGGCCAAACATAGGGATTGTATAAACCTATAATCGCCGTATATATAAATTAATGACTGACTCAAATAATGGATCAATTATCATCCGTGATTCACTACGAAAAGGCTGATTGCGGTACCAAAAAGCTAAAAAATCATAAAAATTGTGGCTACTTACCAGGGTAATTCATCACTTTTGTGTTGTAAGAATCGCTATCTTCAAATGACGCATGCTTATGTGTGTCTGTCACCTTGTCCGACACTCGATATTGTCCCCCGCTGTAGTACTGCCTTCCTGTCGGTGTGTCTTTGATAGGTGATGGGATGTCTTGTGCTTGGGGGTTGGATACTTCCGGTATAGGTAACCGGAAGGAGTCAGAGTGTGAATGCTGATGTTGTGGGGACCATGGGTTAGGGTTTGAGCCTCGTCGGTCCCGGTCGTGCCTAGGTGGGACAGCTGGTGGGTATTTCGCCCTCGGGGCAGGAATGGGAGCGTTACTGCTTTGAAACGCAGCGTGGGTGGTCACGGGGGCCACGTGTGGGTTAGGGATAATTTTAAATGTCGATTTTTGAGATTGTCCCGGCGATAGATCCCCCAAAGCAGCTGATAACGCATCGATTTCATGCTGTTGACGCATTTTCTGATCCGATATTTCCTGGATCTCTTCAGACGGTCTTCTGGTTTGCCATATTACGTCATTTTGCTTGTTATTGCAGCTTTGTGAACGTTTTAACGCTTCTATACGCTTTTGTACTTCAGTGCCTGGTTTTCTACAAGACACGGGATCATGAGAAAAATTCCAGCCTATGAATTCTGAAGCTGGTACATGGCCGCCCATTGAGCAACCTCTATCTGTGCTAACCATACTAGAAGTTGTGGCTTTGCTGCTATTGCTGTTTAAGGTGTCGTTCGCTTGAGATTCTGTCGCAACTGGTGATAAATTTTTTCCGTGTTCAAGAACGTCCAATGTACTGCTGCTGTTATACCCACTACTATCGGTGCTGTTGTATGTGTTTTGCGGAAAATTTACGTTCCCTGTTCCGGTAATAGGTGATTTGTTAAACCCCTTTCCGTCACTTCGACTAATATCTTGATTTTGTGCTCCTTCGGCGCCAAAACTATTATCCTCTGTCAAATACTGTCCGTGGCGACCTCTTGATGCAACGTGTTGCTTTTTGCGTCTGAGACTGCTTACTAAAGCGTCTGATGGGTAAAGATCGTCGGCGTTCAGAAATACTTCTGGTTCGTCTTCTAGTGCCCCGTTTCCGTTTCCGGTGGCTCTTTGCGGTGGCACAATTCTGCTGGCTACTAATCCGTCCCAAGGAGCTTTTTCGTGCAACGACAAGTTCTCTAAGTTGAGACTGTGTCGAACATTGTGTGATGTGGGCAATTGCGGATTTTCGTACTGTAGGAAAACAGCAAGAAAAAAAGGTTTGTTTTTATGTTGACATATACTTTGCCATTAATCCCAAAAAATGGTGGCTTTATCGAGAGAGAAAAGAACGTCGTCCGAAAATATGCTATTTGTTTTCGCAACACTCTTAATTTGAGGACGATATGTATTAATGCCATGCAAATCCCACCAAAGAATTTAAATTCGTCCGCATGCAAGTTTAAGCGTGGGTCGAAAATAAAACAAACATGTGAAGGACGATATATGAATGCTGCACGATCGTCCGTACATAATCCGATTACAAAACGATTCAAGCATCAATATTTGGTAGATTAAAAAATAAAGTTGATTTTCTCCATTTCCGATTAAGTTAGAGGGCAATCCGGATTAAAGCGAACGTGCCACGCCATAAGTTTTCACATAAAATACGCGAAAAACATAAATATCAGAAAAATTCAAAATAAATGAATTAAAGACAAAAATGAAAATTTAAATAGCGTAATTACTGATGAAGTTTTGGTTTAAAAACATTAAATAATCTAATTAAAATAACATAAATGTTTGGCAATTCGCCCAGTCATGGAAAAGATGACAAAATTTTCCACCAGATTATAAGTACAAGAAAGGCACGACAGTGTGGCGTGACATTAGTATTAGTTATCAGACTAAGCTGTCTGTTTTCAATAAAATACATTGAGATTGTGGCAAGTTACAAATCGTCGCCAGTCTGTTTAGAGAAAAATACAAATAACAACAACAACCCCGCTTCCGTATGTATTTGTTGTTCGCTTGAAGGTCGTTTACGATTATAGAACGTGTATTAACTTTCGATACTAATGACGGCGAGGTAATATTTTCCCAAATATAAAAGATGATTTTGATTTTAAACTGCTGTACGGATAGTTGTGATGGAATATAATTACCGCCCTTTATAAAAGCTTTGCTATATAAGTAACCACGAACTGGAATGCTGTTCTATATTTGACTGTATGACGGAAGGTATCACCGGCAATGTGGTGAACCTCTCACTGGCAATTAACGGCCGATTTTTATCTTCGACTCCTATAACCGACAAAGATTTAAAATCGTGAGCGCATTCCCCATCTGGATTGAAACCGTAATTCGTCGACTTAAAAAAAAATGTGGTCCTAATCCCACTTAATATAATACCCATCATTCATCTTAATAATATCGAGCCGTCCGTCCGTCTGAATCAGATACGAAAACGACAAAGAAAATGCGAAGAACGACAATTGGAAATCTGATAAGGATTGTGGCAAAATTGGTCCCTGTCGCCAAAACGACATCGTTTTCTTTCTTATACCCTATTTTAGACGAAATACAATGAAAGCGAGCAGTCACAAATAATCGTTAAAAGGTTTCTGAATTTGTTCCACCTTTCTTTCTAATAATATAACATAAGTAAGTGTAATTGGGCTACGAAAAACTTTGTTTGTGGCGGCTCAGTGAATCAATAAACGAACGAATCGGCGCCCTTCGGACGAACCTAACTTGCCTATTCATTTGTCTCCAATACGACTTGGGTTCCATTCTAGACCAACGAAGTGGCAAGCCGACAAATAAAGACGGCAGCTCTTCGCTGTGGTCGCTTGTCTTGTCGGTGACAGCAGGGAGGTCGTAAATACGCCAAGCGGGGAAGAAAAATACCGTAAACCCAGGTGTCGATTGGAGCTAATAACCCAACTCCGACGATTTGGAGAATACAATATTAATTACTCTTAGGACCTCCCGGACAAAGGTCGTTTTGATTTGGCCATGCAGGGGAGCGCTATTAGGCATGGTTTTTGTACACGACCCAATAATGACCAACGATAATACTTCACAACGTCAAATTTTGACGGTGATAAAACGTTAAGTAAGCCTGAGTGTAATAAACGTGTCGAAAAGCGCTGACAGGGCATTTCCGAGAACAGGCTGCCGGTAAAGAACGAAACAGAGGTAATCGCAAAGTCAACATCTCGCATACGAGTTAGGACAATTTCGGCAGGTAACTTCGCAATTTTATCATGTCAATTCTCGGCAGGGGTGTCGTCGGAATGTGTACAATGCTTCAAGGTTGTCAGAATGTCAAACTTATCTCTGAATATTAGCAATCGCGTATGATAAATTTGTTAGTGAAAATAAGCTGTCTTAATAAATTTCGCGTTATAAAGTGGTTACCAGTATTACCCACTTCACGATTGTTCGACTAAGGCCCATCCAAGCACAAACCAGAAAAACTCAAACTTTTCAGACTGGGTACTTATGGATATCCTCACCAGCGACGCCAATTGACTTGTCTCATTATAACAAATGCTCCCCTGCTTCCCCTAGTTTCTTATCTAGTTCCAATTTCAAATTAAAAAGTTCCAATTTTTCGAGTTGAACTGTATAATGTTCGATGGGGATACGGTAAAGTAAATAACCCACAGAGTGATGTGCTATCATTAAGTTAGCGGTAGAAGTGGTTTTTCAACAAGGCCGACTGAATTCTAAGATGTCATACAAATGTACCCCCCCTGTAGATGTTTCGGAAACAGGTACTTTTCCGCATTAAAAATACAACAGCCGAAAACAATAAAATCATCAACACAATGAATGTTGATATGAAGCAATATTGCAAACTGTAATATTGGAAAGTCCTCAAAACTCCAATACAGCCGTTAGTAAATTGTTTTTCTTTCAAGTACACCATAACAAAGTCGCTGGTAATCTTTTTATTGGCTGTATAATTGGAAAAGCTCATGCTTTTTGATGGGTTTAAATTTGAGCCGCGCAGAAGTGTCGTAAAGCGGCTTTTTGTTGTGGAATAGACCGACAGTAAATCGCTTCCCGGTGGTTTTCTGTCGTCGTAAAAATCTACGAGTGACAAAAACGATCTTGCACTAGACAAATTGCCAATTTCGACGAAAACTGGACGGAAATTTACTGCGGTTTACGCGAAATAGAAACTTTGCCGCCCGTTCCTGTCTATCCATAGGTTAGTTTGCGAAGTTGAATTAAAGTTCAAAAGTTCGGCTAGCTTGAAACAATTATACAGTGTTTGGATGCGGCCAAACATATATACCATAAATCACTTTTAGCACGCGCATCATGTATGATCAAATAGGTTCCAAGAGATATCTATTTACCTGGGAATCCGATTCCGAATGGGCGGGGTCATCGCCGTTGCTGCAAGCCTTGGAGCAAAAAATCTGACCGTGTTTTGGTAAAAACGGTCTACCGAGAAGCGATTTTTGGCACCGTACACAAGAAAAGCAGTCTTCAGTGGCGTGCCAATGCTGTCCTTCATATTGCATTTGTCCCGCGTCGAGTCCTACAAATAAACAATAAAATGATACCGTAATATTACGAAAGATTGTGCAAGATAGAGAGCATTTTAATTACATCATGTGGCATCTACTAAAAAATACATTAAATGTGCAGAAGAGCAGACGATTACAATGGTCGATGAAGGCAATACAAATAAAATATACTTTTATCTGTCTGGAAACTGATTGTAAATCTTGTCGTGACAGGTATTCTGACTGTGCAATACAACCGCGACTGACTGCTACAACGAAAGATAGTAAATACTGTCATTGTGATTTTCATTGCCTAACGAAAACGGCCCATGACGTAAGTCCCAAAGTCCCGTAAATCTTGAGGTTTAAGAAAATCCCATCGGTTTACTTTACATGAAAACTTTATTACGGGTTATGAGGTAAAGAGGTATACCGTATAACCAGATACACGCAAAGTACCTTTGCGTTTCAAACTATTTTTTACCTATTAGGTCTCCGCAGGTGTCGCAGTATTCGGCGTAACGGGTCTCGAAACACCCAGTACAGTATGGTTTCCCGTCTCTCATAATGTATCGTTGTCCTCCTAATACAATTTCACAGTCGTAACAACAAAAATGGTTCATGTGCCAGTGCCTGCCCTCAGCTTCGGTACATTCGTCGGAGAAAATGATCTGAAAAGGATTATTTCCCAAATAAATTAGTTATAGAATAGTAATAATAATCGTTATCAATCACAATTTCCATTTCCAGAAACAGGAAACGAGAGAAGCTATTAGTTATCGCCTATAGTGACGTCATAGTACTCAATTTCAAACCAATATGATATCACAATTGAACAAGAGCGTACATCGTTTTTCGTCACTTTCCTCTTGCCAACAAAAGACTTCCCTTTTCTCTCAAATATGAAAAGGGGCATTTTTGGAGTCATATAAATTATCACCGGATAATGGTTAAATTATGTGGCGACTGTGATGGATCTTCCAATCTCGAGACCGTAAGGAGTGGTCTACAGACAATAGACGGTGGGTCCGATCATCCAAAATTATATTTGTTTTTCTGGCAAGTAAACGAAAACCGGGTCAACATTTCAACAGAGGTAGACAATGCGAAATGTACTTTACAGGTAATTTCATTATGCGCTTTCAATGCGTGTAAATCGAAGTTGGCCCATGCTTTTATAACTAGTTTCAGCTAAGTTCCATGCTTAATAAATTGTGAAATTAATCCTATACCTCGTCACAAGCAGAGCATCTGGGCTTTAGGGTTTCAGCGTGATGTCTTCCGCAATAAAGTTGTCCATCCTGTTTAAAATGAAAATGGAACGTTTGGTAAATTATTATTAAAAATTAAAACCATATCCCGCAGTGATAAATCAAATTTTGACAAGTTTGAGTTTGAGAATGCCTACCTGGTAGAAATAAATCAAGTCAACCAACAATTCTTGACACACAGAACAAACGAAGCAATTTGGATGCCAACATACGCCGTGACCAGCTCGACTAGCAAAAACCGCAATGTCGCCACCGTTGTTCCTCTTTCCGCACTAAAAAGTAGAGAATGATTTAATTGGAGGAAAAAAATCGATTTACATTAAAATATAAATTAATCTTACGTTTTCGCATATAGCTGCAGTGATATTATGCGGAAATGAACGAGCAGTTCCTCGTCCGAGTGCATCGTGTTTTCTCTGTTCGCTGAATAATTTTAATTCCTGTCTTTCCTCTTCGCTGAGTTCATTGCAATATCTGACCTAAATTTAAAACAAAAAAAAATGAAGTTTGACCATAATTTAATTGTAAATTGTCCTCCGCGAAATTTTATAATGAACGTTGGACAGAAAAAGTAAAATTTTCACCTATTGAATTGATACCAATATCTAGAAAAGTGTAATAATCATATAGATGAGCCAATTGCCAATATTGAATGATTGGTATTAACGAATTTATGGATCCAATAATTACTAGAATTAAAAGAGAATAGGGCTTGTTCGAATATTAAAATATAGCCATGCTTGGAATAAATCAATTTCAAAGATTTGAGAAATCTTTATCTTATTATTAGACTATGATCCTTCTTGTAAGATAAGGAAATCGTTTTCAATAATTCCATTGATTTTGGATATCACAGTATAATGACATGCTCCAAATCGATATAAAAAAGTAAATTATATCTTTGAACGAATTCTTTAGTTTTATAGTTTCCATTATCTTACCGGCTTTTAAAATGAAAATTAGAGGATCAAATAAATATAGCGACTAAAACAATTTAAAGAAGATATTTGAAGAGCGGAACGGTGGTCGAAATTGCGGCAATAAAAATCGAATAACGACTGTGGGAAAAGTATTTATGTGCGAAAAGAATCTAAATTGAGAGGTGAGACTCGTTAATAGAGCCGATAGGTGGCAATTACATTGAATAGAGTGTTATTTTTTGTGTAATTGTAAAATAAAGGCATATAGTTAGAAGAATGAAATGGTAGTATGCCAAGGACGGGCCATGGGTCCCTATTTGTACGTAATTTATAATTTTGACGATATAACCACCCATGGTGACTCTTATTCAGGGTTGCAATAAAACACGACAGAGCGTGAAAAGCAGCGCGAGAGGCGTAGCACGCCCTCTGTCAAAAGTGACAAGTCATCCATCAAAAAGTTGACGCGGTGTCGGGCTTTTGATTTGAAAAGAAAATCGAAACGCCTTTTAAACACTATTATTATTATAATCTTCAATTCTATGTGTAAGAATATTATTGTTTTGTTAATAATTTAATAAGACACCGGAATCACGCGCATATAAAGTTTAGCTAAATTCGATATGCCATATTAAAAATTCGTCACGAGTGCCACAAACGGGCATTAATTTGCCACAAAGTGGATTTCTGGCGAAACCGTATTCTGCTTTGGAACAAAAGTGGAGCCGATTTTACAACAACGAAATTTTAATGTACTTGACAATGTCCAGATTTAGTTTTCCATCTCATGTGGTCTCACGAGATGGTGGGAATTAATCGATAGAACGAAATTTAAGCCGGTATGGTATTTGTATACCAAACTTTCGCTATAAACGTCAGGTGTTCGCAGGAGAAAATTGCGGTAAAAGTTGCAAAGTGGCGCAACAGCGTATTTTTTCAAATATTGCAAAAGTAAATTGAACTCGACCATGCATTTAACAGAAATAAACCGTGATGCTATATAAGGGCCATGTTTGGTTGAATGCATATCACGCAAAACCGGGATTACACCCGAAACACAACAAACAAAACATCTATTACCAGAATAGTACAATGTCAAATATCTCGTACTAAAACTCAGTAAATACTAAACATATAAACTGACAAATCTAATCCGTTTCGAGTGGCCAATTTAATATTCATTATTACGATTAATAAACAATAATCAATGAGAAAATAACAACCCTTTATGGAGGGCTCTTAGCGAGTGAGCTTAGCTTTTAATGTGCAACCTCCGACGGCGACATGAGAAGTGTGTTCCTGTGAAAAATAAGCCAAAGGTGCAACAGGATAAAAGACATTTTGCTAATGGTGTAGTGAACACTACAAAATCAACTTTTAGGCATAGGTTTGGTTATTCAAAGTTCAGGATCAGTTAAGAGCCTCAATAGCCGTTATAGTTTAAAATTAGCTACAATACAAGCGCAACACAAAAGCCCAACAGGTCCTCTTTATTGATAAATTATACAGTCTCTTGACACACGACATAAAGGCCGCAAAATACTCTAACTTGGCTTTAGTCCTGCCATATTGATTGAGTACCCATCACAATAGCCTACGAGTGCTATTATTCCTTGGAATTAGTCAAATGGAGGATGGTGCTTATCTATTTGGATTATGCAACATGGGGAAATCGTGACATAAATATGTTTTAACGCAAATAACGAATAGACGAATAAATAACTGCAATACAAAATGCGTAAACGAAGTCCATGTATGCGGCAGATAATTTCTCATTTTTGCAATTTGAAACGTGAATATAAAGTAGATGCAATAAACATCCTGCTGAGACAAACATATGCAATTTCAAAATCTGTTAGCACTCCTTATACAGCGTTCTATTTTTGGATAAGTTATTATAGAGTGCGAAGAAGTTGGCTGTATCATTTGACACTCAAAAGTCCTTATTATTACAGCTATAAAGAAATATATACCTCAGCTCAGCGGGCGGCCAACCGAACATTGAGTCTGTAATAACATCATGAATTATATGTGATTTCAAAGACTTGGCTAATGCCGAAAATAACGCCCAAATTACATTGCAATATAAATCGAATAAGAGCCAGGTGCTATGTTCCAAAATAACGACAAAAAAAACCATACTAACGCCAGGGACGATTGGCAATTTGGTCTGTGGCTCAGGTTTGGCGGACATTACAAAAAATACGGTCTGTGAACTTGGTGAAATTTAAGACTGATAATATACCCGAACTGCAGACGACTTGGCGGTTCAACCGGAATCAGTGAGCGTAAAATAAGAGGAAACACGATAACCCAAATCCCGTGTATTGCCCCGTCGTCAACTACTCAACTGTCAAAAATAAAAGCTTCTATGCGGGGAAAAAACCCGCAACGGCAGCGGGGCAAGTTAGTGGTTGTTTCGTCACGGGCTTTTAAAAATGATCGTTACCGTAAAGATAAAATATATGGTTTCACTTTTAATAACGTCATGATAACTGGTGAAGCTGAAAAACCAGTTGTAAAAAAAACGCAAAAAAGAAAAAAATTTAAATACCCAGAAGGCTGATGCAGACTCACTTACCGAAATTCCCACATTTCTGAATATTACAATGTTTGTGATATTAGCTTGAGTTGCATTCCTATGGGAAAATACATGCCCGATTCGAAATCCGAAGTAATCGAATCAAATTTCGAAGAAAAGTCTTATATATTCCCTATTTACAAGCGGTTTTGACTTTATACACTGTTTCGCCTGGTTTGGTAATGTTATTAAAACTTATTATCCGCTGTAAGAGGTGCTAATACGTCCGCGGAGTATACAAATTAACCGAAGGGTAATGAGAATTTGAGCGAATGTTTATAAAAAGGATTTAGATAAATACCGGCGTGTGTACACCACTACAACTCCAAGACTCGATTCGCGGTTCTACTTGGATGGAGTTTCGCTTTTTAGTCAGGACTAGACTAGGAATATTGCTTGGCCAGAGTTACATGTAATCTCCTAAATAGGAAATCCAATTAACGGACTTAAGAAGAAATTGTGGATAATACTTTTATATTGAGATAATTTTTTGGAGAATTTAAGCTGTATTTTCATATTTTCGTGACAGATTGCACGTTTTGGGATAAAAATATCTTTTTGGCTACACTCAAAAACATTTTCTGTGGTCAAATCATGCAAACCAAGCTTAAAATGTGACAAACAACTTTACTAATACTGGTAACAAAATAAATATCAATAAAGGGAAAATATGATCCAATATTTTAGTCTCGTTGGACATATGAATCTGACGTCGTGTCACACTAGAGTGAGGTGTTTTTCGACTTTCTCACAAAGAACAAATTAAACTTTTTTATTTTTGTTTCTCTTGTTTCCTGGAATGCTTACGATTTCAGCGTTCAAGTGTTCCTTTAATTTTCACTTTCATACAATACATTAAACTAATGTATGTTAATTTTCAAAATTTGGTTGGGAACATGATTTCGACTGTTATATTGTTTTGATTGCAGAGTGCCCTTTGTGATAGATTTAGTGAGATTTTGTGCTTACAAGTAACCTATGAAGCTTTTGTATTGAAAGCGATTGTAAATCGAAAATATTAGCTACTGACATTTGGATTATATCGCATGGGTCATAAACTAGGCTTTGAGCTGGGTCGCCCTATTGTTGATTTTATAGTCTATTTCAGTCTTTGCTTTATTTTGTATGCAAATACAATTTTTTGGAAATGAAAATTTTCCCAGAAATGCCCGCACTTAAAATTATAAACTAAGTATTAAATTGGTAGTGGCATTATGTACGATGGGCCATGATTAAAAAATGAATAAATGCATTATTAAAAAGTTTTTGAATGCTGATACAAGGTTGTAACTTATACATGGTATTTTTTTTAAGCTGTAGTCGAATGTGTCGACCTTTTGGCACAAAAAAAATCGAGGTCGCGACACTTTGGAAAATGTGTGCTCAATACGAGATGGTAAACAGCAATAATCATGTCAAATTTTTAACAACAGTCGTATAAAAAACGCTGTAAAAACTATAAAAATAAATCACTCATTTTAATATATAATCAATAAGCAGAAACGGCGATATGTGGCCGATATTCTGAATTTAGATTGACTCGCCGTCCTCGAGGTCGACCACCCGGACAAGTATTTTTAACAGTTACTCAACTAAGTGTCAAATAATTTTTTTAATAACAGGTTGTTATACAAAACGAGGCTATTTTGAGCAAGGAAAGTAACAACGCTATAAGTCATTATGTCAGCTGTGTTTGGTCCTTGTTAAAATTCCAAATTGACAACAAACACGGGATAAGATTATAGTTTTAAGATTATAAAAGAGTTAATTGTCGCAGCCAATTTTGAATTCTTTACAGCGTGATAAATTGCCTCTGAGAGATATAGGGCGCATTCCATAGATAAGTGAAACATACAAGCCAAGATAAATTGCATGTTTAAGATTTAAGATAATATAAAACTTAAGCTTGCATATATCACATATTGTAATTAATCGAAATGAACAAATTTATTCAATAAAATGGCCACAAAAATAATCCAAGATATTTTAAACAATAATCATCTTAATTAAACTGAAGAAATATTTATAAGACTTAAAATTTAGATGAATGAAAATGGCTTAGTTTAATATGTCTGTCATTTCGTCTTTTCCAAAACGCTTAAATTTCTTGAGATAATACCCAAATAGATAGTTCTTTGTTCAAAATTCTTCAGCGTAATCATTTTGACCACAAATATTTGAAATAGGACAATTTCGAAATAAGTTTCACGATTTCGTTATCATATTGTACTGAAATCCATTCCGAAACTGAATTATATTTTTATATGAATTTAAAATACATTCGTCAAATAACTTTAGGTACAAATGCTGTTTTTATGATTAAATTTTAGGTCGTTCACAAAAAGAATTAATAACAATGTAAGAATACTTTTCTAAAAGACAATATATGGTCACGATCGCTATTTGAATAACATCTTCCCGAATGTTCGCAATGGGCTGACATATAGACAGCGGTTTTGAATAGCCAGATGTAGGGTACACAATTTATTTTTTGACACAAACTTGTCGGGCGCTATGAGTGATGACATTCTTGGAAGAAGTTGAAGAGAACCACATAGAAAATCTTACCTCATTGTCATGGGGAGGCAGCTGTTGAAGCAATTGACGTATTCTGTATTTTTCTCCGGCGCTTTCTACATACGGCACTTGTTCATCTGGGAGACACGCAAAATACTTTTGCACCTTTGAAGAGTGAAAGCAAAAGTGAATAATTTATTAATTATTATTCCTCAAAAAGGGATTAAAACGATAGTTCATTGCTATAATACAGATAGGCAGTTGGGTATACAGTGATTATTAGCGGTAATTATCAGCGTCTGTTGTGGGCGTACTCTCGTAATGCAATCGCGCTTTAGTGTACACTGTCAATAGAAATTCAATAGTCGGAACGAAATGGCTACAATCCAACTTGCAACTTACGCGGAAAACAAGGTTACTGAGTAAGGCGGTAGTTAACGTTATATTGCAACGGTCCGACTGTTCAATCAAATACAACCAAAAGTATCGTCATTAATGTCTTTTCAAATTTGGGCGACGGATAACAATCACATTATATGGAGTGCAATCCTCATATCATGCTTGGTGGTAATTTCTATTTTTGCAAAAATAATTTCCTGAAAACAGCAACATAAAACTGCATCTCACCTGCTTAAGGGTAAGCCCTGGAGGTACCCATGCGTATTCGTCTAAAGAACACCCACTGTCATCGTCCGAAATAATAATCGCGGATGAACCGTGTTGATGGTGATGTGACTTTGGTCCTGTATTTCTACCGCAATTTAAATTTGCTGCAGTCTTACGCTCCATCTTTATTTTGATGTTGTTGACACCGCCAACGTGGTATTCCAATCTGCACTTGCAGTGTGCGCAAACTTTTCTGAATCCAAAGTTGTAAAAGATCGAAAATTTTTAAAATCAAAACGTCTCAAAAAACGGGTAAATACTGTCCAATAACGCTCTTCTATTCGAAGTTAAAGTTATATCGTAACTGTCAGTATAAACAATAAAATATAGTTAGTAATAAAACTCAAAGATCAGCAATTAGTAAAACAAAACACAATATCTAGAGTGCCATTAAAAATAAACTAAAGTCGAGGGTCGTCTTTCTATTCACTTAATAACCTCGCGAAAAACATCAACAAAGCCCATTAGTCGACAACGTTACAAGGGTACTTCGGTCTCTTTCGGAAGAGACATAATAACACAACATTAAATAATATATTTAGATGTATACAAGTACTCGATTAGAACTCTTCAGTTTCAATTAAAAGTATTACGAGGATTACTGGAACCATATGCGGAACGATGCCTACATCCCGGAGTACCGTACTCTCCTTTGCCCTTTTTCGTAATATTCGCCGGCGGAATACTCCGGTAAATGCCACCAGTCTGTCTAAAACATGCGACTATAAACCTTCCATGATATGTGGTCGTGAACCGGCCTAGCTCAGCGTAATCACAAAGCTTACTGTTCTCGACCAACGCGGCGTAATAGCTCGAGTGGAATTTTGCTTTCTCCGTGTGAACCTAAACTTTATCCACTTCATATTCGATTATTGTGTATAATATTGTACATATTGGCCTTTTAGTACTGTTCAAGCGTTATTTAAAACCAAGTCAAATACACTTTAACATATCTAAGTCTACAAAAACTACTTTGTTTATGAAAACCTCAATGATTTCATGACTGAAAATTAATTTACTTTAATTATGTCAACTGGTGCTGAATGTAAAATATATATATCGGTACTATAACAAATTCCTGCATCTAAGCGCGCTTACAGCGAGCGAGTCGTCGCCACGATTGTCAATCACATAATCCCGATCGCGGTAAAACAGCGCGACTCTTACAGGACAACTTTCCTTTTTTCTCGTCTAGTTTTGATATAATTATTAGTAATACTATATGATAATTGGACGTCGCGTATCTAATATCCAGCGGTGAGAGAGAAAAAGATATTTAGATCTATGCGACAATCTTGTCAGAATGTACCCCTACAATTCAATATCGATTTAAAGATTAAGGGTACATTTAAATAAATGATATATTTTGCATATCACTTAATATTGGGAAATGCAATACGGACGTTAATCCGAGCAATTTGTACGGCTTGTTATATAGGATATTCGATATGTAAAGTTTTGTGAGAATTCTTCATATCTGTTATTTAGATGGACGATGGCTCCAAAGTAATAATTTGTTATATTGAACCCACGTATATTTCTTTATTTACACAGTTTTCTTGCTATATCACCCGTATAATGAAAATAATCTCTAAATCGAAATAGTTAAAGTGCTGTTCACTCTGGAGTATTTGAGTAGAAAGCACAATGCACTGAAAACTATCTCTCGAAGAATATTTGCGAGTGCAATAAAATCTCCTATCTATTCCGTTTTGTGAGACATTAAATCGCCAATAGGAAATATAAAATATTCGGAATAACATTTAGCGATATCAATTTAATTATCGGTCGTACATCGACACGCCCCAAACAGATTTATCACTGCTGGAGGTTGACGTTAGTATTAGAGATGTACCGATGTATCGGTATCGGGTATCGGTATCGGCAATATCGGCCATTTTTTCGGTATCGGCCAGGTATCGGTATCGGTTAGATTAAGGCCGATATTTCCGATATATTTACCTTTTTGATATGGTCCAGAATGTTTTAAAAGATAAGTTGGAATACTACTTTTTAATTTATTTTTTGTCTGGAGAGATCGTGAGCTATGAGCCATACATGTCCCTACCCCCGCGAGAGAATATGATTCACGTATTTTTAGCTATTTTCGCTGTCAAATTTTTATATTGACATTTTTAATATTACATAGTAATTATGAAGAAATATATCAACACGGCACATAACAAAAAGCAATTAGGCGCCCAGTTTTAAATCATACAGTGGAATTGGGGTCCTTATTAACGGCACATGGACTTTTGGCACGGGTATAAATTCTGACTGTTTGTCGTCAAGTACGAGTGTCATTTAGTCCGACGACATCGATAAACTAAATTCCGACACAATTATCCCTCTACGCAGATATTAATTTTGTTTAACAACACAATTTCTTTATAGATATATTGACATGACCGCCTAGCCCTAGAGGGCCTAGAGTCCTAGACTGTCTCAAAATATATGATAGCAATTGTATAAAAATATAAAATAGTAAAGTAAAAAAACATCCTCGACGGTTATAGGTAGGCCTTCTTTTGGTCGGTGCTGATTGATATTCTTTCATGTTGGCTTTGACTTATTGCGTCGACGATTACGATTAGCCACGAAATAAAATATTTGAAAAATGCTTTTAATTTGAACGTAGGACGGCGGCTCTAGAATGTGTGGGTGATATTCGATATTCTTTTAAACACGAATAACGATATTCGAAGGTCGCGATATTAACATTAAATTCAAATTGGACATCCCGGCTTATGAGTTTTCTAATTTAACACCGAGATTACTAGCGTTACTGTACAGTGTATCTTAATCAGTTGAAGCAAACACCAAACATTAATTTCATATTATGTGATATATCTTTTTTTCGATATGAAATAATGTGTACTATGAACAACGCTCAAAGACCATTGTTTTAACCCGTCTGCCCTACACAGCACACCTAATTAAGTAATATTTACATAGTATCGGTATCGGAATATCGGTAATATCGGCCTTTTTGTAGTATCGGCGAATCGGTATCGGTATCGGCTTTTTTAGCTGGTATCGGATCGGTATCGGTATCGGCGAAAAAAGTGGTATCGGTACATCTCTAGTTAGTATGCCAAGAGTGGAAATGCGAGTCTATACTATGTTAATCGATCTACGATATAACGTGTGGTATAGTAATATAGAGTACTTGGTGATGAAAAATGTACGGCTACATTATACTCATATGTTTACCGAAGATTTTTCGTTCAGATAGGCCAATCTTCGTTAAAAACACGAGAAGATAAAATGATTTTCGGAGGCCGCCAACGAAGATGTACCATCGCAATGTACGGTCGACAACGTTCATGTGTTAGCAAAAACAGCATTTTCTCACACGGCAAAGATATTTCGATATGGTATGCCGTAACATATGTAAAGTTGAATTCCTTCGAATATAGTCGTGTGTTTGTGGCGGTGAAGTCATTTTAGGTGAGGATTTAAAAATAAATGATGACCACAACTTGGTGGTCATCAGTAAACGTCCAAAACCGAATGGTAGCCATAGATGGAAAAAGCGAACTGCTAATGAGAAAACGTACTCTGACTTAAACACCACTGAGCGAATCACGATAAGGTAATGCCGTAACTATTCCGTGAATTTACAACAATTCTATGATAAAATCAACCGTAACAGCATGGGGTAGAAAATATACAACCTTGAAAGATTCAACTTATGGCTTCTATACTGGCCAAAACGTGAAGTTTTATCTTTTTATTAAGATAAAATAATACCTACTTTTTTGAGAAATAAAAGCACAATTGTAGACTACCAAAGATCTTTAGATATGACCATCTCTTCTCGCAACTAAAACATACAACGTAAACACAAGTCTTATATACCATATCTCTTTACGAGTAAAAATTACTGAAAACAAAACATCTTCAGCGTGACAAAATCGAGGAATTTGCTGCGTTCCGATCTAGCGATAATCTCAAGTTTTATTTTCTTCAACGTTGCTATAAACCAACAACAAACTTGAAAGCTTTTGTTTGTGAGTTGTTTGAACGCCAGCATTTCAAGCCGACTTAGTATACGAAGAACGAGACAGCTCTAGCCAAGTACATTGTCGATAAATAAAAGCCTCGCTTTCCCAGAACTATTAGTCACGTGAGAAAGGGTATGCAAATTCGCAAAAAAACAATTACAAAGTTAATCTTCATTTGGAAAAATGCCAATTCAGACGTTTCCAATTTTAGATGGGATAAATGGTCATAAAAGTCGAGTTGCGATAAATCTGTTTTTGCAACGGCGGCTATAACAAGCAATAAAGCATACTTTCGTATTTATTAGTGTTTGCAAACAATGAAACCTTAATAGGCTTAATTTGACTCAATCCAATGCCTGGCAAAGATAACTCTACAGGAGAACGGGAAAGAAATTAGAAAAAATGAACAATTTTTGGTGTTTCCACGAAAAATTATAATTCCTATTGGAATATGGAAATATATTATAACTACAATTACTGTATAGCTATTCTCAAATTCTAATGGTCCCTTGACAGTAATATTTCTCACTCGCGCATGAATATGAGCCACAGTTTGGGGATTTTTTGGAGAAATCAAATATCTTGACATGTTGTGAAATACGAATATGTTGATCGCATTTACATTGTAAATGAACAAACCAGTACCACCTAAAACGGCACGGATGCTATCTTTGATGTTATGGGTGATTTAATAATGGATTAATTACCGCAAAGTGAGCTATATGTACGGTACAATAAAATGTTCTATCGAATATTGACGCCGACCATTTGCATTTCATAAATCTTGCACTCTTCAAACGAGACGATGCGATAGATAGGGGCGATGTGTCACGGATCCACGACCCACTATATTTATTCGCTTTTGTGGAGCCCTGATGAACCTTTGTGGTGGATATACTTCAAAGAAGACCATAAGTCTTCTGTGAAAACGTCATAAATAACAATATCATACATCTATTTAACATCCCAAGGCGTCGAATAATATGATGCTAAGTAAATACGATGTTTATTGTAGATTTCTATGATGTAATTGACTCGTTTAGACGTCGCACGCATTTAGCCCGCTGGGATGCTATATTTGTTATCTTGCGGGAACTTCGCGTCTACTTCACCGAAGCGAAAAAAAATTGGGTCCGGCATTCGCACACCGCGGGGTAGTGGCAGCGGTTGCAGGTAATAAACCCAT